GTTACCTGATGCACAAGGGCAAGACGCTCGAAGCCTACAAGGTGTGGAAGCGTATCCGTGGCACCTCTACCCCCGAGGCGAGAGAAGAGTTCTTCGTCATGAAGGTCTCCGTCGTCGATGAGAAGCAGCAGGTTTCTGAGGGCGCCAAGAACAAGCGTTTCCCCTGGATGGACTTCATCACCGTCCCCCGCGCCCGTCGTGCTTTGGTCTATGCCAACATCATGATTCTTCTTGGCCAGCTTACTGGTGTCAACGCCATCATGTACTACATGTCCATCCTTATGCAGCAGATTGGTTTCAACGACGAAAAGGCCACCTACATGTCTCTTGTCGGTGGTGGCTCTCTGCTCATCGGTACCATCCCTGCCTGCTTCTACATGGAGAAGTTCGGTCGTCGCTTCTGGGCCAACACTATGCTTCCCGGTTTCTTCGTGGGATTGGTCATCATTGGCGCTAGCTACCAGATTCCTACCGATACCAACACTACCGGTGCCGTCGCTTGCTACCTCATCGGTCTGGCTTTGTACATGGGCTTCTTCGGCTGCTACGCTTGTCTCACCTGGGTTGTTCCTTCTGAGGTCTACCCTACCTACCTCCGATCTTACGGCATGACTACCTCTTCTGGTCTGCTCTTCCTGTCTTCCTTCATCGTCACCTACAACTTCTCTGCCATGCAGGAGGCCATGACCCGTACTGGTCTCACTCTCGGCTTCTATGGAGGCATTGCCATCTTGGGATGGTTCTACCAGGTAACAAATTCCATTCCCATGTGATACCAAATCGTAGACTAACACTCCATAGATGATCTTCATGCCTGAGACCAAGGATAAGACGCTCGAGGACATTGATCGTCTTTTCGAGAAGCCGACCAGCGAGATTGTCGCCATGAACATGAGGAACAATTCCCAGGCTTTCGGCAACTTCTTCATGGGTCGCTGGGGCAGCAAGGCGCAACAGCCCACTCGGGAACTTGAGGTCGAGGAGAAGGGCAAGGACATTGCGGCCTAAACCTCTCCAATGTATTTTATGTATGATGAATTGGCTGTGGCCGAGATAGATACCCTGATACTTTATAATCCAAGTGTTTCGAGACCTTGATAAATCATTTATTGTTTGAGAGTGCGGATCCTCATCCAATATACCTCGCGCGCCTATGATTGGACTACACGAAACTCCGCCCATCCATCAGTCCGGACTCGATGTCGCCCCCTTCCCATGCAGCTTGGCTCCGCGACCATGGAACAAGGCGTGCCGCGCCGGGTCTCGTTGTCAACAAAGGAGCAATCTCAGGGATGTTTCAGCGCATACTAATGCAAACAGTGCGTTTTCAACATGTCACTCAGGGCACTCACATGCTGCATGTTGAGATAATAGAACTAAGTATGACCAGACAAGTTGTAACTCCCACGTCTCTTACCGTTCAACATTGACAAAGCGAAGACCTTAAATCAAGGTTCCAAAAACCACCTTGACTCAGACGAAGGGCTTCCATTGTTCCTCGCACCAGTCCCAGAACTTGGTCGTATAACCAAGCCCCTCCTCCGCCACCGGTTTCAAGGCCTTCACGATATCCTTCCTTGGAATATCATCGTCGATTCGTATGCGTCCCCAGGGTATGACGTACGCCCCATTATTATCAAATGAGATATCCGGGGACAAGCCTGCGTATAGCTCGGTATATGCACCGAATTTCGTCTCGTACAGGAAGGGAGTGATAAAGAGCATTGAAAACGCCGGGACCCCGTCATAGGCACCCGCTTTCAGATTACCAGGGTTCTGGACAACGCTGACAATATTGTCAGAACCATAGCGAGAAGCCATCTCGCGGCCGAGAAGCCAGTTACCAAACTTGGAAACGGCATAGTTTAGCGCACGATCAGGCGTACCCTCTGCAAGGTGGTCAAAGTCGATGCCATTCTCGCCAGTGGTCAACTCCGCCATGTAACTCGCAGTCCAGACAACACGAACCGAACCTTTTGGAGCTTCTCCCGCGGCTGCTCGGAGTTGGGGAAGGAGGAGGTGGGTGAAGAGTTGCGCGGCAATGCAGTGCATGCCAACCATGGGCTCGAAACCTTGCTTCGTCTTAGCGCCTTCTTCTATTCTATAAGCGCCCGAGCCAGCATTATTCCAGAGAATATGGAGCTTTGACTCTCGTTGCGCAAAGGTGGTGGCGGCTGCTTTGACACTTTCAAGATCGTTCAGATCAAAGGGAAGGAAGACTATGGTGCCGGGAGTCTCGGGTGCCGGTGCCGCGGTTGTGATGGTCTCTATGGCTTTTTCGGCACGTTCCTAGATGGGTGGTAGGTCTGGTCAGTCTTCGAATGATTACAAGACTTGCTTTCATTGCGAAACAAAGTCGAGGACCCTTGAGATCAGACAAGACCCAAGTATTGAGGTCGTTGCCAGTCATCCGAAGCCGAAGAACATTGGCTTTGTTGTGAGACTCACCTTAGATCGCGATGCCATGTATATTTTAGCACCAGTTGCATATAGAATCTTGACAAGCTCAAACCCGATGCCGTGGTTTGCGCCTGTGACGATGAACACTTTCCCTTTCTGGGATGGGACGTGTTGCTCGGTATAGGTCGGTTGTGGCGGAAACCACTGAGAAAGCAGGTTGCGCACTCCGGCAAGAGACATGTTGACTGAGTTTCGCTATATCAGTCACAGATCTCACAAACTACCAGTGTTCCTATTTCAATTATGAAAGCGGTTATGAAGTGGCGTGGTCGGGAATCGTTCCCAGGGCAGTAGAACTAGTATTTATGTAGCCGGGATCCAAAAGCCCGCTCTTCGGCCGACAGCTTGAAACAAGCTAGATGACAAAAGTACTTTCATGATGGCTCCGTTGATACCATGATCCTCAGTGGTCAATTTCTCTTCCTTGCGCAAGCGATACGGCGCTGAGGCGTGGCGCGGAGAGGACACCGGCGCTCTGTCAGACGGAATCTCACATATTAAGGTGCTTATCACTGCACCTCCCGGCCACTTGAGTCGTCATGCTTACTAGCCAACAATTCTTTCCTTCTCATTATTGGACAATTTTACGAATGACTAATATTATTAAAGGGGACTTTGACCATCACCCTGACACCCTTGCAAGCCCGCTAGGATTTGGGCGGACTTTTAACCAGAAACTGGACGTTTCCCATCCCAGTGTTTGCTGTCAGACATTTCTCAGCACTAAGATCTTACTTTGGTCCAATGACAGGAGAATCATCGACTACAAAGACACAGAGGGAAGTTTGGCTCCTTCGCAGTTCGTCTCTGTCATGGCTTTAAACTCTCAGACCTATGCTTGAGCACCTTCATCTAGGTAATCGCGTCACTCACATAAACGGACTACTGGTTTGCACTCAACATTTCAACCCCGCAAGCGTCAAAAACGCTTCCAGAATGGCCAGTTTGCCGTAATCAATCGGTCGTGAGGCAAAAGACAGTCACCCCCACACATGGGTAAGGTGAGTCTGCTACGCCCCGGTCCTGCATGGAAGGGGTCACGAGAATACTACGTTAACCTGTGTTCCTACATACGTGCTTCCCAATCGCTCTCTAGAAGAGCCTGGTTTCTTATCAGTTATGACAAACAAGTAGATGTGTCTCCTCGGCTTTTCCCAATTAACCCCGCACATGATGTTTTGTCCAACATAATACCAGTACACATCTTTTTCACCGTACACTCGAACGCGAATGCGTTCTACTTCAAGTCGTTATCATGGATGCCATCATAGCCCTCGATACCGCGGGTCTCATATTGGATGCAACGAGATACATTTTGGAGATCATCTCAGCTTCCCCAGTCACAGCAAACCGGAGTCGCCACAATGAAGAAATCCATCTAGGCACTGTCACAAGGTTGAAGCTTGCCCTGGCAGAGAACCAGATTTTATTGAAGAGTGATCCCAGCCACTCGAGTGGTTCGCTTCCGCTACAAGAAATATCTACCTCGCGAGACGCTTGCATCGCGCTTCTGGACAACACGGAGTCTATCATACGACGGGCGTCCGATGATACACTAGGCGAGACAGATACGCGGGGCTCCCAATGGCGTCAGCGGGACGACACATACCACGAGCGTAAAATTGATCGCCTCAACACTACGGTGACACGTCAAGTCATCGGTATACTCAAGTACGTAGTGCGAAGACCGTGTCATGATACTGTCTGATGTCTATCACAGCTCCCGTCTATCCCGACTAAGCCAGTCCTTGAAAGTACTAGAGAGTCAGGGGCGGTATGCTCGACCAGAACACGAATCCCAAGTTGATGTTATGTCGAGTAACCTGGAAGACCTGAAATTACAAACGAATAAGCAACTCACGGATCCACGCGCAAGCTTTTCGGAGGCCGACGTCCAACAAATGAAGATCCTGCTTACGAGACTCACGAAGTCAGAGGATGCATTACTCGCCGACACGATTGTAACAAGTCTGAATTACACCAGTCGACCTGCTCGCCTGGACTCTATCCCGCAAGCTCATCAGGATACGTTCCAGTGGGCATTTCACTCTCGGTTGTCAGACTGGTTTGTCTCCGGAAGTGGAACCTTTTGGATCTCGGGCAAACCCGGATCTGGCAAGTCTACTTTCATGAAGTTCATTGCCAATCATCCTCGGACGAGAGAGTTGCTGGGACACTGGGAAGGCTCATCCAGCTCACTAGCTGTTGCGTCACATTGTTTCTGGATCGCGGGTACGCCGATCCAGAAATCATGGCAGGGGCTTCTCCAGTCTCTACTCTACGACTTGCTGCATGGACACCCAGACATTGTATCCCTCGCCTGCCCCCATCGGTGGGCGGCCGCCAAGACTGGAAAGTGGCAGACCGCTGCCGAACCCTGGTCTGTGTTCGAGCTTGCTGCTGCGTTGCGATCTTTATCGACAGCCGATGACGTCCCTCTGAAAATATGTTTCTTTATTGACGGGCTTGATGAGTACGACAGCAATCACGCTGAACTCTGTCAAGTTCTTCTTGACATGGCTAAGTCCCCGCATATCAAGATGTGTCTGTCCAGCCGTCGATGGCCAGTCTTTGAGAGGAGTTTTGGTCAAGAGGATCAAGAAAGCCTTGATATTCATGAGCTGACAAAAGACGACATTCGGAAGTTTGTGCATGCTCAGCTGAGGGCTGGTCCTCGCTGGAGTCTCGATACATCCGAAAATGCTTCCTTGAAGCAGGCTGAGCTCGTTGATCGAATCGTGGCTCAGGCCAATGGTGTATTTCTCTGGGCTTTCTTTGTTACGCGATCTTTACGAGAAGGTCTTTCGAATGGCGAGAGATTGGAAGATCTGGCCGCACGCCTCAGCCGATTACCCTCAGACTTGGATCATCTTTTCCAGCACATGTTGGATAGCGTGAACCCTGCCGATCATCGTAAAATGGCGGGAATCTTACAGGGGGCTATACATGCTCTGGAGCCGCTTCACGTCGATATTTACTGGCAATTGGAAAGAGAACTAGAGGATGTCAAGTCTCTTTCTAAAGAAACGATAACACCAAACCCCAAGGAAAATGTCGCTCTGCGGAGAGAGCAATCCAGTTACAGCATCAACGAGAAGACTAAAGGACTGCTCAAGCTTGTCAACGACCGAGTCGAGTTCCTTCACAGGACCGTAAAGGACTTCATTTTAACGAAAGATATCGGCGAGTACCTCCGGGGGAAGCTTCCGACTGACTATAATGGCTTCATCTCCATCGCTGCTGCATATCTCGGGTTCCTGAGAGCCACACGCCAAGATAATTCACTGGTCGCAGACATTATTAGGCAAGGGCGAGGGATGAACACCGGTCCATATATTGCACATCTGAACCAAGCCCTGCTTTATGCGTCCGAAGCGCTGAAACAGACAGATCAACTTGGTTCCAGCCAGAGCCGGCAGGTCGAACAGCTCTTGGATGAGTACGAGGCAGCCATTGTCAACATGGTCAAACTCGGCCAGTTGACAGTCAGGGGCGTTAATGCTGGCGGATGCGATCCGAGAGTGCTGTTCCGCGAAGAGCTCCTCCGTCATGATCTAGCGCCTTATTTGGCAAAGAAAATTCGCCAGATGCCGGATTTCTTCGATGTCTTCGACGAGTCGCCCCTGTATGCAGCGCTCATGCCCATGTCTCGCGGCAGTGGCGAAAGTTCTGCGCCTGCACTAGGAGTCCTCGATATACTTCTTGGCCGTGGAGTGGATCCAAACTCGGTTCCGAGAGAAATAGGCATCTTGGGCGATCTCGATGCACCTTCGCCGTGGGTTGCGTTCGCTCGCAGCACAATGTCTGTCTTCAACATGCTGTCAGGGCCGTGCATGTTCCCTGCCCAGCGATGGAACGACTCCCTGAAGAATGCCACATTTAGCCGCTTGCTGTCTCACGGCGCGGACCCCAACAAACCTCTGCTGGACCGCCCGGGAGCCCGCACCGTCTTCTCACACTTCTTGGATATCTCCTTGTCCAAATTCCTCGGCGAGGAATGCTTCGAAGACTATCCAAAGACACTAGATGCGTTTCTGCGAGCAGGCGCTAGTCTGGGTGTGCCCGAGCTGCGCAGGCAGGATGGTTCAACTGTAGAAGCTGCCTTTGGGAACCTAGCGAGAAGACACCCAGAAGAGTCGATTTTAGCGTCGTTTTGCAATGAGCTCAAGAGCCTCATGGCAAGATTGACAGCCGACCCGCCGAGAGCTACGTTTACCATGTCAGTGTTGGAAAAGCTCATACAGCACTGCCGCGGCAGAGAAGGAGACCTAAGCGAGCTGAAGTCGGCTATACTTCAAGGCTGCCCCGCGCATGTCAGTGACTCCCTGGCCCAGATGATTACTTCTGAGATGACTCGTCATCCCGGACGGGGATCCGAGCTGGAAAGATTTCCAAAACGATTGAGGCGATCATAATATATTGGACTTGTGAGCGAGTAGCTCGAGCCGAGACAACTAGTGGGATTTTCTTGTGTCTCATCTGTGTCGCGCGATTGAGAATTTGGGGAATAAGTTTGCCTGCATGTGCTCGTGATCTTAGTCATTGCTAAATTTGTTTTGATCGCGGTGTTCCCAATTTGTGGCACCTCCAGATTTTTGCCAATGCAAGCTGACGATATTATCTTGAAAATACACGTTGATGTCTCTTGTTTGAGAACGATTTCACTAATTACCGTCGCTATTGAGACCCGTTGCTTCAGTGCTACCCATCCAATGCGACATGGAGGAGACAACATCACCTCGCCCAGTCTCGCCGCCTCCATATAAGCCAACGTCAGGGCAGTCAAAGCCCCAGTTACAGAGAGTCTGTTCCTCTACTCAGAGCATGCAGGGCGGGTCTACCCTCTGGCACGCAGAGCTATTGGTACCCTCAAACCGATTCTGTTCGCCCTGCATTCTATTAAGACTATTCCATCAGCACTGCGACAGTCATATTTAAGCAGATCCTGGGGACAACAACGTGTTTCCGAAGTTGGTCTCAACTTGTGGGGAGGCCCCTATTACCACAGCCTGGGACCGCCCAGCTTTCCATTCCCCGCACAAGTCGCAAAGATCCTGGACATATGTCTCCTTGGAACACTCAGTCAGCGACCACACGCTGTAAGCATCCTGGTTCAAAGAGTCGCGCCTCTGAAACTACAATAGTAGTTCGGCTATACCGAGCACACCTCAGCTGTCAAGTTCTTGCAGCGGTGCCAGTGTCAGGGCCCAGCCGCTGTCATCTAAAGTCCAAGAAGCTCTATGACCGAGACCGAGAGTCTGGGAGGGACTACACGGCTATGTGATTTTATTGCGCGTTCCATTCTCGTGCTGGATGAGTTTTTTTTCCTTAGCTTTTGATTTTTCCTTCACACATGCATTTACTATGTTCGCTTCTCATCAAGCCGGCGTCATTGCAGCCTTAAAATGTTTGATGCGCGACCAATGCACTGCTTAACTCCCCACTTGCCTTGACTGCTCGACAATCACAACCCGAAAGACGAATTCTTGACCTCGTGGCCAAGGTCCGACGTATAACACCGATCATGAATCAGTTGAAGTTGCAGTTGATGTCAAGTGTCACAAGGACATGAGCGCAACAAGTCGACATTGCATCCATAGCCATATTAAGCATAACAATAAGTCCAGACACGCGACGTTTCGAGTCACCAACGTCGATCACACGATGGAACAGCAGGTAAGCTTGAAGCCAAGCTTGATGCTCGCCGGTGGGATTGGCTCGTATATTAAGCACAAAATTCTGCGCACATCATGAGTCGATCATCTCTTCAGTTCGCTATCAATCCAATACACTCGTCGTCTTCTATTCAATTTACCTGTTGCAGGCCAACTCAACTTTCACTTCCTAATTCAACCGCCTTACCCTTCCACAATGCAGTTCAGCATCTCTTCCATTTGCATCGCTCTGTTCACCATGAGCACCCTCGTGGCCGCAGTCCCCGTAAGTAGCATTCTAAAATCTTAGCTACAAGAAGCGTTAAGTCAATGTTTGCGTTGAAGCTAACGCGAATGTAGCAAAACAACGCCCGCGAAAAGTTCAAGCAAAACAGCTGCAAGAGCCAAGCATGCAGAGATTCCGTTGACTCTGGATGCCCTCTCAGCAACATTAATTTCGTTCTCGGTGGCTGCGATGACCCCACCTCGTAATCGGTTTCAGTGGGTGATCCTATGGTCAAGGAACATGGGGGACAGGTCACAGGTGTCACAATACCTGAGGTTCATGTAGAATCCGAGGCTAGGAAAAGACATCTTCTCCCAACCTGATATCCATAGACCTTGCTGCTTCAAAACACTGAGTGCATGTACTTTACTCAGCACCCACAGCGATATGTGTTTAGTCTTTTCATCCTGTCTGTGACTTGGCTAAAGTTATGTCAATATCATGGTTATCTGATTTGGTCAATGACTATGAACACTGGGAGGCAGCTCGGGCGTCTGGAATAGTAACGAAGAAGACTATACAAAAGAATATTGAGTGTTGCATGCCGGATGCTCGTTTTCTACTTTTGCTAAATATGTTACCGATAAAAACTATGTGCAGTGCTACAAATTGCCAACCCAATTACGATGCTGTACAAACGCCGAAGCAAATTCAAATCAGATGGATATTCTCGGAAATTCAAACGCCCACATCCGCTCGTACAACTTGGTCAATTGCTTCCGCAACCCTAAAAACGTTCTTGCTATTCACTTTCGACGAAATTAGCACGGAAACCATCGAATGGGGCAATCTCGAGCTCTAACTTACATCCTGATATGGACGCTCTTCCTGTTGATAATAGGTAGATGTGATGTTCCTCCCTCATCGTCTTGACTTGGGGAGCTGTGAGACCAGTGTAAGAGAACATCCCAATCTGATCGATGATATGTCTCCAAGAGCCAGGAGTGCCTCGCTTCGTGAGCTCGACGAATAGGAACGCTCGCATGCTCTTGATGCGAGCGTTCATCTTCCTTAAGTCTTGTCGCCACTCTCTTGTGAGTTCGGGATCATTGAGAATGGTTGATACAATGCGTGCACCCCATGCTGAGGGTGTCAAGTACTCGGAGCCGATGAATTGTAGCAAGTTGGATTTGATGGCAGGAACTGCGGCTGAATCATGAGCGAGGATGTGGAGAGCACCGACTCTGTGACCGTAGAGACCGAAGCTCTTAGAGAATGACTGAGCGACCAGGACCTCCATCGTTCCTCTGCCAACGAAGTGACGGACTGCCCAGGCGTCGTGGTGGTCATCGCCAGATGCGAATCCTTGGCTAGAAAGTGTAAGTCAGTAACGTTGAAGCCTAAGTCAATTGAAAAGGAGGGCATGACCTACTAGGCAATGTCCAAGAATGGGATGATGCTGAGCTCTTCACAAACGTCGGCAATGATGTTCCACTCCTTCTGTGTTGGGTCGCATCCCGTGGGGTTATGGGCGCAGGCTTGCAGGATAATGATGTCGCCCGGTTGTGCGTCTCGTCTTAGAGTCGTTACCATACCTTCCAGGTCGAGAGACTTGGTCTTGTGATCAAAGTATGGATAGAACCTGCGATGAGTTTTTGGTGAAGCATTTTCCCAGATTTGCTCGTGGCTTGCCCAGGATGGATCTGAGATCCAGACATTCTCAGGTCTGACTGCCTTGTCTAAGAACAAGGCTCCCATATGAATGGCTCCGGACCCAGCAATGGTCTGTACAGTTGTCAAGCGACTCTTGACGGTCTCGAGGACATCTCCCAGGAGGAGTTTCCTGGCAGCTTCGACGAATGTGGGAAGTCCGGCAACGGGTAGATAGTCGTGATTGTCTTGGATCTGTGCTTGTGCCTACACGTCGAGTAGATTGGGTTAGTGTGAGGCTTGACAGCGAAACATGACAGTGGAGGACAATACGCCACCTTTTTGACGGACGGCAATGTCCAAGGCTGTGCATCATCGTCCCTGTAGACGCCAAGACCGAGGTTGACCTTATCAGGCGTGGGGTCTGCTGCAACTGACTGCATTACAACGAATGCTTCATCATAAGGAGCCTCAATCAGGCTAGAAAAGTGCGACTGCACAGCTAAAGAACCCATTATTGCAGCGAAGTGTGGTCTAGTTTGATCGAAGAGTTTGCAGGAAATGACAATTCCTGCGATTTAAAGGGGTGGAAGCTCATCGTTCTTATGGTTGACTCCAATGCTGAGGGCCGAACGCCGAAACTGCGTGAACAAGGCATATTGGGCGAGCAAACAATTGTCATTTTGGGCCCCGACCGCCGAACGTGACTGCCGGCCCCAGGGATGTGACAGAAACAAACATTGGTGACATCTGTTGGTCGAGATCTAGGGCGATTGGGTTCACGATGCAAGGATTGGGCCACACCGCCTGCCTGACTTCCTTTTGCCTAGCAAGGGGGGAAGTTGCTTTTCCCAAGGGTGCGCTTCACTTTGCGGACTCGCGGAAGTAGGCACATCTTGCCCGATCCATGGTCATGGGATTCTGCCAGAAAAGCAAACATTTCTGATATTGATTCTAACTCACTGTGGTAATGACAGCCGTCGCTAAACTTACTCCAGGCACGAAATTTTGCGAGACAGTTGAGATCTTTTCCCGCGTACCTGGTTCGACAGGTGTTCGAATCAGGAGATTGTCCCGGAGTTGTCGGCGCAGTTGAAAACTTTCGAAATCAACCCCGATGCATACGCGTCCTTGATGGACACGGCCACACTGTATCTGTTGCCCACTCAGTTTTCATTCTTCGGGAAAGGAATATAATATACTTACGTTCCGGCGACCACCATGAACAGGCCCACAAGGACGACGAAAACGTGAAACCCGTACATTGCTTTCTTTGATACACCTCCCTTTCTGTATGACGAAAAGTCCTGCATCCACAACAAAGCCGGGAAGATGAGACTGAAGGGAGCAAAGCAGAGAGCGCCCGCGAGTCCGAGAAGATAGTTGAGGATAGGGACGGCTTCTGCCACGATGAACGCCAGGATTCCGAGCGTCATGTTGCTGCCAATCCAGGTTGTCCAGTGGATGACGGTGTTTGCCTGCAGATGTTGCGAATCTCTCAGGATGCGCACAAAGAGGTATTTCGCCGCCACATGTTGGTAAATACCGACACCGATGATCAGACCAGGAAGCGCAACACCATACGATATTTTCTTGAACAAAGGGCCAGCGCTTCCAAAGGCAGGAGTCGCGAGCCAAACACCACACCACCGGTAAATGACCAGTGAGAACGAGAGATACATCGCCAAAACGAGAACACCGGTCACCAAAGCAGCCTTTCTGTACTGATCCGGACGACGCATCTCTGAGATAATTGGGAGGTACATTGAGGATCCACTGTTGCTGATAAAGATGTTTGCGCTTGCGGTGATACCAGCAACAAACGTTGGGTAGGCAATCGCTGTCCAGCCGAGATCGAAGTCACCGGGAGGAGCGACGGCAGGTCGATCTTGTTGGGTGACAGCAACAACGAAGATGAAGACGGCGATGAAGAAGGTGGCGAAGCCAAACCAGGTGAGCCAGCCCAGGCGGCTGAACGTTCGCACTGCAGAGAACATGGTGATGAGGATTGCACCCACCAGGGTAAAGATGACGGTGCATGCTCCGTGATTGGACAGGGCATTGAATGCTGTCGAGATGGAGACAATACCCGCTGCAGAAATGAGGACTTGGGCAATGAGGATCTGCAACCCTACAAGTTCCTTGCCGACGCGACCCCAGAGGCGACCGCACATGTCAGCCAAAGCTAATTGGAATCATCAGTATGTCAACATGTTCAGGTGCAGCCGAGAATCAACTCACTATGGCATTCGGGATGACGATTGCGGAACTCGCCAAGGATAACTGCGGTATCTGGACATCACATGAGCATTGTTGTCGCTGGCTTCAAGTTCGACAAGACTAACAAGTATTGAGAACGTGCCATCCAACAAGAGAAAGAGCACCGCCTACGGCACCAAGGGTGGCGAAGGCTCCGGGGACACTCAAAATGCTCATAGCGAACTGGATCTTGAGGAACATGATCGTGGCGCTCTGCCAAGTGACTGTGCGGAACTGGACGCCATCTTCCGTATCCTTGAAAACTTCGTGCGTCGTCAAAGCCTGTTCCTTGAGAGAGGATATCTCGTTGTGGACCGAAGGCGGTCTGATTTTATCGTCGTTCATCTCGGAAGGCATAGCGTGGCCAGCATCGACTTCGTGGGCAGTCATCTTGGCAGTCTGGTTTTCGTGATTTGATGCAAACACTCCCGAGACCACAGATGTGGAGAGCTGGCTTCGTTGGTCCTATTAAATGTTCCATCATCGGCACTCCGGAAGAATACCTTATCTGGATTTATCAACTTTTCCCCATGTCTTTATCATAATGCTAGCCCTTGAACAGTTAAGTGTAGCACGCGTTTGATGCGCACCCTGGCCGAGATAAGGGTAGCTTCGCGGAGATAATCCATGAAAATGCATACAGTGTGGTCGCAAGTCGGGCACCGTCTTACATCCCGACTCAATTCCGATGCACATCGCCAAAGAACGACATGCTGCGCTGCGGTTGTGGACCATATCCGATGCCAATCAAATAGCATATCAATGAGATTGCTTGCAATCCAGAGGATAATGATGATTCTTATCATATCATACACTAAAAGCATGCTAATGCAAGCGCAGAGTTGTCCCGGCATTTCGGTATCCAATGTCCAGTTTGTCGGATGTGCCAGATGTCTAGGCTTCGAATCTCTTTGTTTACCAAGCCTGCAGGCGGGACTGGACCCCTGTTTGGTATCTGGTCAGTATCAACAGAGCTACTATTTCCTCGGATCAATTCACACGAAAATGTACGTAATGTTGAGAATACCAAGGCCCAACCCAGAAAGAAATCGCAGTAGCATTGTACTGGCGAATTATTCTTCATATCGGCTAAGTTTTTCCGGACCATTGATACGACTTTACCGTTGCTGTGGCATTTACGTGGCCAGGTTTTGACCCCTAATTCATTGCTCATTGGTTTTAGAGTTCACGTGGGACCCATGTGAATAGTGACAGCCTCTTCAGCAACGTGCGGCGATGTTGTTTTACATGAGGTGGTCGCGGGCGACTACAAGCAGCGAATGCAGTTAAGCAAGGCCTCTCTCTCTCTCCACGTTTCCTAGTAAGACGACTTGATATGGAGTATTCGGGGTATCTGATGTTGCGTATGCAAGTACTCAAAGCGCCTCCTTGATGCTAAATGCACGGCCGATGTTGCACTATGTGTTCCGAGGCTATCAATGGCCGTTCAGCAGCGCTATTTTTGAAATATCACTGGCAATTGAACACATTTGCTAAGGAGTTGATTGAATACGTTAGTGCTAAAGAACACTGCTTGCTCAATTTACCGGCTGCAACACAAATGAGTCGTGTCTAACTAAGTGTCGTATGGGCAGCTGGGGTTCGTCCACTGCTCCACATGCCTGGGTTGATGGCATTGATCTCCACTGAGATCATAAACAGGATTTCAACGTTGTTGACTTGGTTTTGCTCAAGTTTTTGTTTCCTCTATCAAGCAGTCCACAAATGGAGCAAAAGATGTTCGTTCACGCAGGCATCCATCCGCAGGTAGATGAAAGAGGAGGGCAAAAGTTGAACTTGCGGCCAGTGTGGATTGAACACACGACCTTCAGATAGATGGAATGAAGTTATCCGGGCACGAAGTCCGCTTCAGTCTGACGCTCTCCCAACTGAGCTATGTCCGCCGCTTAGATTCATGGGAAAGACAACTGCTACGGCAATATGGATCATTGCCTGCTGTTTGGGTGGTTGAGAAGCAGTCTTAGTTTGGTCGGTGACGACAACGAACTGTGGGTTCATCAATCCTGAACTGGGACTGCTACGTCTTATGACGGTGCAGATTACTTGAGCACGAGGAGTTTGAACTCGGGATCCCGTAGAAGTGGATAGGGCGCAATCTGTAGAGCATGATGTACGCCAAGACGTCAGCGCAAAGAGGACTTTGATAGGTAATGTAGGTGAACCTGGGAAGGCTAGCTTAGTAATTGCGCCTAAGAACCTGAATGCAGCATCTCAGGTAGCTGATGGCCTGGCATGGACATCAAGGCATGGTGTGGAGATCGTAGAGTCTGGAAGAACAAAACTCGAACCCGTCGGGGGCCGTGCCAGTTGGTGTGCCTCACCGCATATCGGGCTTCAAGACATTACGAGGTAGTATTCGCCCTGGCTTTTCGCACGTGCAATCGCTCATCGAACTTGGGGTACCAATGTGATCACCAATACTTCAAATTTCATAGTCATTCATAAGGTCATAATACTGCTACTAGGCTATAGCTACTTGCCTACAATTTCGAAGTCTGTCCTGGTAATTGCAATTCCCTGAAAACGCTGCTTGTGTTTGGTGTCATCAGAACGGACAATGTTTGATAACAGTAACCAAGAAGAGCATGACTCGGAGCAAGATTCGTATGGCGCTCACTGCTTTACAACGCAAATGTTTTCCTCAGAGTCAAGCCTGGAGAGCCATAGGACAACCCCTAGCTTGACTAATCCTCTCTCTCGTGCGTTCCATGTACTCCTTACCTTTGCATCTTTGTGCATCAGGGCCAACTTCCGGGATGGTGTATCCGTCCGGGTGATACTTTGAGCCCTCATCGCCAGGCAAGTGTCCACCAATCAGTCTGGTATAGAGAGCAGAAGGACTCCATCGCCACCAGAAGCTCGGCTTGACATAGTATGGGTGCGCGAGGTAGCTTGGCAAGTACATTCTGCCGGTCTTCTTATCGACATCTTGGATCATTGGGTTGGTCCACCATTTCGGTCGCGGTAAACAGAAGTACTTGAGGATATTACGCCTGAAAGCGACTAGGTTCTCGAAAATGAAGAAGTCCAACTTGCTGGGATCCTCGTACCTAAGTCAAAATGGGTCAGCTATCCTGTTGGCCCGAGACATCAGTCGGTCGCGCTACTCACCCCATAGCTCGTCGGAGCACAGGTTCCATCAGGCAACGCAACTGCCTGAATACAAAGTTATGCGTGAACTTGGGGAAATCCATCAGAAGCAGAGTGATATTCGCATGTGCCAGCTTTTCATTTGAGATAGCGTGGACCATGTTGTGCTCCTGGTACTCCAAGCACCACTTCTGCAGGGCTTCCAACCAGGCTAGAGCATCATCTTTTTGACTCATGTGGGGATTCAAGCACTCATATGAGATGCCCATCTCGTTGCCCAAGTCTTTCCAAAAGATAGCCAGGGCATTCTTCTCGAACATGGTCAAGTCCCTCCATTCGTATAGTGCGGTCCAGCGCATAGGTTCGAGCACGAAGAGGCTGAGGGTGTAGAGCATGTCGTCGTTGGATATCTTCCCGGCCTCTCTCCAGCGGCTATGGAGGAAATTGACGCGAGAAATGGCATCTATGTTGCGTCGAGAGTCTGGTGTGTTGTAAATGATTTCGTACATCAACACGCCGGTGTCTGTCCGACGCTTCGATGCTGTGCGATCTCCTGAAAGCTGGCTAGTGGCTACCAAGAGCTTGGATATTGTTGGAATTCCATATGTCTGCGGACAGTTTAGCTCGAAGGCCTACTTCGGCACCGCTTCTTGCTTCTTGACTAACCTTAAAGAGTGCGAAAGACACGGATGTATAAAATGTTATGGGGAACTCCCTTTCCGAAAGCTCACGCATAATCGAAGCTGCGTCTGCTAACGGCAATGAAGCAATTTCTTCTCTTGTCTTGTACTGGGGGAACCTCCCCTGGAACGCATCTCGGCGACGGTATCGCAGGGCCCGAACTACGAGCATGTAAACGGTGATTACCGCAATCACTGGTAAAAAGTACATGGTGGATTTCTTCCTAATTCGCAGATGAAGAACAAGAAGGGTGGGAAAATGAATGTCATGAAAGCGAAGATGACGAGACCGAGTGGCCTTTGTTTTATTATTCCCTAGTCATCATGCGGTGCGACTTTGGAAAGGAGTTTCCACATTACCCTAGACAATGCATCTCATTTAGCCCATCTTCTCGTTTTTTTGACCCCTGGCCCTCGGGTGACGCCCCAAAATCGTCTTCTTTTGACATCAACCACGCGAGTCGACTTACACGTGTGATGCGGGGGTGTCTCAGAGCCACCAATCATCAAATTGGGTAAAATTTATGCAGTAGTGCAGATCTGCCGGGACGGGGGCGTTCTGTGGTGCAGTTGGCGCAAGCCAAGAGAATTAGAACAGTAGTTAATGGGGCTAAATCTGACCAAAAACCGGAGCCCGTCGGGCTTCCGGGTACGACTATCAGACGAGGTTTGAACTGAATCGAGTTAGCTGGTCAGTTGGAGTCATACAATTCGACTCAGACCTAATCGGATTGGGAGGCATTGAACTCCACGTCGTCGGAAAGGGCAATTCCCAATAATTTGGGTCACACACGGGCCAGGCGCCATTCTCCTAGGACTTGGACCGTCCCCGGATGACAGCTAATTGCCTCCCCGGAAAGCAAGTTTCCTTAATTTACCCAGTGACCACGATGATGAGTATTCCAGATAACAGTTTTCTGATTCGTCGACCGACGCTGAAGGTCGCGACCTAGATGCTTCGCTGTCGGTTTGGTTCAACAATCGAAGCTTCGGCAGGCTCTCGTCACACTGAGGAATTGCCCTTGTGAGGCATCTGTTTCCGCCGGTTGCGTAGAGGGTTTAAATTAAACTCATGGGGCAAAATAATGAAACTCAGAGCTAAGTTGGCAGATCTTCGATCTCGGTGATGACCCACCCATGTTGAAACTGTCAATGGGACTGATAGTCCAACTCTAGATGTAGTCGGTGAATTTCCACACTCACCTTCTTGACTCGACAGTATCTGTGAGTCCGGGGTAGTGTCTGTGCCACATTTGACTTGGTTCAGTCGTCTCAACATCCGATTTTCAAGGCAGTCACGAGGTATATTCAACCCGCAAAATTCGGTCACTACGGCACGATGCAATATTCGTGAGATGTTCGTGAACGATGAGTCAAGGCGGATACTTTGCGTTGGAGTCATAGCAGTCTATCGCATGCCGACGTACTGATTCAGCGCCTTTAATCTACGATGCAAGAAAACCTCAACTTTCAGCGTGCTGGCACGAAGGGCTCGTTGACGTAAGGTAAGCGCCTAAAGGTCGCGACCGGGACACCCGGCCAACTTTGCTAAACTCCCAACTCGAACTGATACTGGTCTGTAAAATATACGTAAACCAGAGTTCGACTCTTTAGCTTTTTGAGTCAGTCATTCCGGGCTCGAGAGATGGACTTCCGCTCGGTGGCCCCATCAGCTAAATATCTAGCCTTGACGTGGATGACGACACGTCGTATGCCAACAGCCAAATTTAGCAAGCAAACCTTTTACTCACAACTTTCGCAGTTCTAAACAAACCAACTACTGTACTTTCTTATTTATCCCTTCGGATGTAGGCGCGGTCTCTATGAAAAGATGTCGTACGATGCCCGGACCTCCCGGCCCGTGAACATTGGTGGCATTAACATATGACCTCGGCAATAGTAGAAATACACTTGGTCGCATTGCAAATGCAACACACATGTTCTTGGGCTCAACCTCGAAGTGTCGAATAAATAGTCCGAACAACCAAGTATCATATTGTCCCAAAGTGCTGAAAGTTACTTATGCAATGACTCTCGTTTTCTTTTTTTTTTCTTTTTCTGAGGAATCATAAGACTAAAGAGACTAACACATCTCAAATCAGGAGCACTGTCTAAGAAACGAAAAAGGCTGTTGAAACGTACACACGGTGCTCGTTAGACGACAAAGATGCTATCCTCAAGGGATTCGGTCCTCGGGTGTTCTATTGACACGGATTGAGCTACCTAACACGCCGCATCTACATCAAGGGTAACGCCCTATTCAGGTCATCTCTAGCTGTTCACATGACTCTCATCTTTCGAATAAGAAACGAAGAGTACGTCTTCCTATTCACCCATAGGGAACCGCTAGTCAAGATTTTTGCAGGCTTATATAAATCAATAATAATATCTAGGTAGCATAGCTAGCTACATATATGTCCTTAATTAGAAATGGTGGATATGGGGCATAGAGTAGAGCGTACTGGTCATGTACCATGTACTCGCCCACCGATTCCAGCCCTATATTGTTTGAAGAGCAGTTCTTGAACACATCGATCTAGGCTGAAATGATGTGTATTGAAAGCAATAACCTTTCATGTGAGATTTCAGAAGTAATTAGTTCGCTCTATATGATACCACAAGTCTGCCGTTTGGCAGCTGGCGATATTTCAGGAACGATAGGTACAAATGACTTAGGTCTGATCCCTACTTTCTTTACGTCGATATTTACAGAGTTCCAGGTTGATTTAGAATCCTAATCCCAAGTGCTTAGGTATACTGACTCTAGATCAGTCCTTAACTGTGAAAACCTAGCTTACCGAGTGTGCAGAAGTAGCGAGTAGCACAAATGCCAACTGGTCTTTATGCTCGACAATGATGAATCAGTACGTGAAGAAATGTGCTTGACTCACAATCTGATTATATTCATAGATTCTGGGCCTAAGGAAAAGGGTTCTAGCCTCTGATATTTCTATCTCGCTGTTCCGATGCCACACAAAAGTGACGCTTGTGAGATAACAATTTCTTCCTTATTCTGTTAAGGAGTAAAACCAAGAATTATTAATACTAATCTCATTAAGCAAGAAAGTCCTTTGATGAGTGTGATAACATGTTGGCCACCTTTTTGCCGGTCTGAGCCTTGGCAGTGGTAAGTACTTTGTTGATACTTAGGTACGTACTTAAGGTACCGAAGTAGAGTAAAGTTAGATGATATACCACCATATCTTGCGATGTACTCAGAATTTATCATGAAGCCTAGGATCAGTTAAAAGGAGCCGACGGATGCCCCATGATAAACCGAAACACCTATCTCAAGATGGCAGTTGAAGACATTGTTTCACTCTCATATACGCGTGATCAGTACTCCCACAAGACTACAGCCCCTCTGCCTGAATGCTACCAAAAAGTTGCGAATTTCATACGCTCTGTTACGCAGCTTTTACAGCCACTGTTATCTTTCACCTAATTCATTTCGCATTTGTGGTGACGTCTGTGGTGATCGGCGTACTATGTCTCTATCCTTCTTGTTTCCATACCCGGGTAAGTACCCAGCTGCAGAAATCTCAAGGAGACAATCCAATTTGGGTATGCAATATGATAAGAATCTGAGTTTCCCAATTTCCTCCATCATCACTTCAGACAAATAGCCTTGTCTTCAACATTCATCCAAGATGATGCGTTAGTAGCCCGTACAGTGTACCTGTAGTGTTCTCCGAAGGCTGAACTTGATGAAGTATTGCAAAAATGAGTAGAGAGAGTATCCATATTGCATCAAATGTGAAGAATGGACAAACACTGCAGCATAATTCGAATTGAAGGTCGTGCGGGCTCGGGCGTCGTCCAGAATATGGGCTATCAATCAAGGTTCTGGACCTCTCTGTCCAAGCTGCCTTTCTTCCGCGCTAGTCTCAACAGATCGCCGATTGCTGCAGCATCAAATTGTATGGTTCAAATTCGGCAGTGCTTATTGCGTAACTACATGGAGACTTGTGCGTCCGAGAGAAAAGCAATATATTCACGTTGCCTACAATTCTCCATGAGAGAACTCAATGCGTCGGTTGACCACAATTCAATGGTCAACCCTCCCCCGATCAATCCTCTCATAGTCTCGCATTCCATTTATGTCTTCTGCATGCCTTGATACCGGATACTTAGATTGGAAGATTGCTTATGTGTAACATGCGGAAACAACGCTGCAAATGTTGAGAGAAATAGACGCATTCACTCTGGAAGTTGGACAATAGCTCGTGGTAAGGTTTGACACCGTGATTGAAACTTAGAAACTTCCCTCATATTTACAAAGACATCGATGCGCATCTATGCCTAGTTCCAACGGGAGGAGAAACGGTCCGTCAATCCGCACGCCTATGCAAAGCCGCATAACCTCACCGAGACTTACGAGTCATTTGCGCGGAAGAATGAATGGGAAGGGCGAGCCGCCGCTCTGCCCCTAGCTCCCTCCTAATGCCCACGTTCCCTACTGCCTGCCGCCCGCAGCACTGGCCCCATTTTGGCAAAGGCCAGTGACCCCGTTAGCGTGGGAGAGACCAGGCGTTCCAACCCGCGTTATATCCCCCACGAATCCACACATCAAACCTCGAAACCTGGGGGGGCCCATGGGCAGCGTGGTGTGAGAAGCGGAGTTTCTCGCAACCTCTTGAGGCTTGACAACTCGTTTCTGGGGCCTGATCATCAACGTCATTGGCCCACTACCGCGCTTGAATCAACAGGGACTTATGCGGGGTTTTCCCTCCGCAAGTAAATTGGCATGGGCAATGGGCACACCAGAAACATCGGACGACCTAGCAGGCCAGCATCAGCCATTGAGCCATGTTGATTCCTCCCGAAGTTAAAGCGGATGCTGCCATTCCCCAGCCATCAAAGACCGAGCCGAGCGATATCTGTTACTTTGAACGCCAAGGAAGAAACGCAACCCAATGGTACGCTATGGATCCTAGACAAACGATATATAACAACGACATGTCCCGTTCATTTAGTAGAACTTCTGCTTGAGGCATCACCATCCCGACCATTTTCTCAAATCTCGTATCCTCTAGAATGGGCCACGCAAAAGAAGCAAACGCCCAAGCCGTCGGTGCTGAACTGGCGGCCGTCCTACCAGACATCGGCCCCTGGTACAAGCAACCTCACATCCTCCGCCTCAACCTCTGCGTAGCCTCCCTCATCATGTGTGCCTCTGCGAACGGGTACGACGGCTCCATGATGAACGGCCTGCTCGCGCTACCCCAGTGGCATGCCTTCATGAAGCAACCCACAGGTGCCTGGCTCGGCTTCGTAAACGCCGCATACTCCCTCGGCAACGTCCTCGTGTACCCCATCGCCGCGTGGGTTTGCAACAAGTACGGCCGCAAAATGGGCATCTACGTCTCCTGGGTCTGTCTGGGCACCGGATCTATCCTACAGACTGCTGCACCCAACGACGCCGCCTTCGTCTGCGCTCGCTTCCTCATTGGCTGTGCCTCTGGATTCTTCCTCTCGGCGCCTCTGTTGATCACGGAAAACGCCTACCCTACTCATCGCGGGATGGTGTCTGCTCTGTATAACTGCGGTTGGTACTTTGGTGCGGTGGTGGCAGCCTGGGCCACGTACGGCACTAGAAACCTCGACCACTGGGCGTGGAGACTGCCCTCGCTGTTGCAAGTGACTCTGCCTGTGCTCTCGATCCCTGGCCTGCTCTTCATCGGGGAGTCTCCTCGGTGGCTTGTCTCGGTAGACCGAACCGACGAAGCGAGGGCCATTATTGCTCGAAATCATGCCGGCGGCGATACCCACTCACCTCTCATCAACTTTGAAATGATGGAAATCGAAGATACTATCCGAGCCGAGAAGGAAGCTCACTCGGAGACAAAGTGGTCGGATCTCTGGGCTACCCCCGGAAACCGACACCGACTCTTCATCTCCGTCAGCTTGGGCGTCTTTGCACAATGGGTAAGTACCTCGAAATCAGCAGTCAAGATGGTATACTTATTTGACCCTAGTGCGGTGTTGGCGTCGTCAGCTACTATCTGGCCATGGTACTTGTAAGTGAACCTATCGAAATACACCTTGCACAATGGACCCAAGCTCTGACATGTGGCATCCTAGTCCTCTGTTGGCATCACCTCTGTCGACGACCAAACTCTCATCTCAGCTTGCATCCAAATCTGGAATCTCATCTGCGCCTCCACTGCTGCCATTATGGTTGACAGGGCCGGTCGGCGAGGACTTTTCCTTGCTTCGGTAAGTCGAGAGAAATCACATACCAAGATCTAACAACAACCACTGACAAGAAGACAGGGCACTATCATGTTGATCTCCTTCTCCATAGTCACCGGTCTCTCCGGCAGCTTCGCCAACACAGGCAACGCTCCAACCGGCACGGCAGTGATACCCTTCCTTTTCATGTAAGACTGCCCCCCCCCCCCCCCATAAATGAGCAACCCAACAAAACCAACTAATCACTTCCACAGCTTCTACCTCGGCTACGACATCGCTCTAACCCCGCTCATGGTCTCCTACCCCGTCGAGATCTGGCCCTACCGCCTGCGCGCCAAGGGGCTCACAGTAGCCCTCATGGTGAGCATCGGCTGCGTCTTCTTCAACACCTTCGTCAACCCCATCGCCCTTGAGGCCATTGAGTGGAAGTACTACTTTGTCTTCCTCGCCGTCCTCGTCATCATGCTCATTAGCGTCTGGTTCTACTACCCCGAGACGAGAGGCCGAACGCTGGAGAACATGGCCTATCTGTTCGACGGCGAGTCTGCCGAGGTGGGCACAGGTAATGCCTCGAGCGCGCTTAAGGAGGCGGAGGCTTCCCATGTGGAGGTCACGCACAAGAGTTAGATGGTGGATACGGCATGGTGTCGCATGCATAGGTCTAGATTCATATGGGTCTATGGGGGAGAGTGGAAAGTCAGGCGTAGGATGAAGTACCTTAGTACTAATCGACCATTATCGAGATATTGGCAACGCAGGATCCCTTGCCCTGACAACTGCGTGACGGTGATTCCAACCTTGGTTGAGATGGCTGGTCGTGGAGAGTTCCCATACCAACGGGGCCGTTCCTCGAATCAGAGAACAAAACCTGGGATCACATTGGACATACGGTTCAACCTGTTCCAGCTCAGAGCCGTTTAGGAACTGTTACAATGACGTTCTCAGACTCCCATAGACGTAAAACCTTCTCTCCCAAATCTGCTAGTCACTTGACTCTCTTCTCGTAGCATTCCACATCCCAAGTGCGACGCTCACCCACAGCCCCTATTAACAAGGATCTCCGCTCCCCCAAAAGTCCATCCCCAGCCTCACCCCTGTCCAACCCCATAACGGCAAAACGACTACCAACGCTCATTGGATAACTTCTCCCCCTTCAGCAACCGGGATGGGTAACAATCCGGCGGCTCTTAGCTTCGGCATCCAACGCGGTGGCCGCCCGCGCAAATTCCGGAACCGAGAGCAGCAGCGTCAAACAGACAAACTGACCACCAAGCGCGACACATTGTCCGACACTCCCCGCGATGAGTTTATGCTAGCACGCCGATATTCCCCGGACCCGAGCTAAGTTCATCGAAAAAAGAAAAAAAAAAACTCCCAATACGCGTGTTCTCTTGAGCCATGTTCGGACTAGAAGCGACTTCAAATGCAAATGAGACTCGGTGACTCGGTGAGAGAGACAGAATTGACCTGCTAAATCCTAAGCCTGCCAAGGTCTCACCCATGCTCCAAGAGTCCTGCTTCCGCGTCACGCCAAGATTCCTCGTCAGGCAGCTGTAGGCGCCTTTTGTGCATGTTGAAGCTGGTCTTTCCTCGTAGTTGTGAAAAGAGTCTGATACATGGCGGCGCTATCTTCGGCCTTGGTATGGAAATAGAGGGGAAATTGCGAGTCCTGGACCCAGCAGCCAGGCTAGGCACGCGTCCTGTAATACCTTACATCACCTTACACAAGTGACAACAATCGCTTTCATTTGACCATTTCTGGAATCTCTTTACCGCGGGAGCCGCGAAAGTTTGTAGATTGTCCGGCTGCAAAGCTGGCAATCATTCGTATGATAGCGCTAACTTAACGAGCCCAGAAAACATCGTTCAGATCAAGCGACTCATCATCGTCGTCGTCGTCGTCCGAATCATCCACAGCGTCGACCCGCCTGAACAGCTTCAACACCCCCTTGTTCCCACACGCAGCCGCGACATCGACCGCCGTCTTCCTGCTCTTATCCTCCAATAAAGGATCCAAACCCTTCGCCGTTAGAGTCTTGAATCGTATAACGTGGCCCTCCGCCGCAACGTGTAACAAGCTCCGTCCGTCATCATCTAGAGCCCCGAAGTCCGCGCCCGCCGCCTCGAACGCTCCAATCCCGCCCTCTTCGTCGTAGAACTGCGGGTCACGATTGTGCGTGTAGACCTCATACTGCTTGTGCTCAATTCCCGCGTAGTACCAGAACAGAGCCGTCTCGCCCTTGGAATTGCGAGCGTTGACGTCGCATCCGCGCTCGACGAGCGCGTTGAACAGCAGTCGCATAGAGGAGACCCAGAGCATGCGAGAGAGAACGTGCAGGACGGTGTTACCTTCGTTGTCTGCAATGAGGGGGTTCGCCCCGGCTCTAAGAAGTGCGTCGGCGGCGGTCGTCTTCTTTTCGTAAAGAGCTCGGTGGATGGCTAGGTACAGCGGCGTCTTCCCCTCATTGTCTCTTTGATCGATAACTAATGGGTGCTTCTCTATCGTGTAAGTGAGTGACTTTTCGATGATTGGTGTCTGATAGATTCGCTTTGAAGGGGGCCTCAGCATGTGGTGAAGTATGTTTTGCCTCTGGCTGTCTCGTGCTTCTACGTCCACACCGAGGGAGACAAGATGATCGAAGAGCGATATCTCTTTCGATGTCTGGGGATCCCATGAATCTCCTGGTAATAAGCCCAAGGGCACATCGGGACCCCGTATAGAGGAGCAAGCAGCATGGAGAAGAGTTCGACCACTGCCATCACGATGATTTGCGTCGATCGCCGGCAGCTTCAAGAAGGGATGCACGATGTGTCCATCAGCTAGAAGCTGGTGTAGAACGACACAGTCCTCATGTAGGTGCGGCTCGAAAGAGTAGTCTGGGTCACCCACAGCGTCAAAACCATCGGGCCTTTCGTCAAACATATACAACCTTTTAGCTTGCCGCCGGGAGTAAATCTTTTGATGGGAGCAGTCTTCCCCAGAGCATCTCGAGAAAGTAGAGAGCGGGTCGGCTCCATGGGACAAGAGGACCTCGATCAAGCTAAGAGCCGCTGAGTGAAGCTTGGCTCTCTCCTTCTGGTCGTAAGTGTTGATACCAGACTTCGCCGCAACGCGATGCAAGGGGTACCACTCAGCGTCTGGAAGCCTGCTCAGGTCCCACCGACGGTTCCCGGATTTCCAGGGTTCTTTGTCGTCCTTCTCGATCCGAATGTTGGCATTACCCCCGGTAGACAAGAGAGCATCGAGCACTCCTGGTTGCATCTCGTTGATAGCACCAAAGATCGCATCTGCGTGAACTATCGCGCCGTGCTTTACCAAAACACGAGTCAGGTCGACATTATGTCCTGCATAGGAAAGACAGCTTCGTCCAGCCATGTCCACAGCGTTAACATCTGCTCCACCCAGGATCAACTGATAAGCTGCGTCCATGTGGAATAATCCGACGCCATCTTCCGTGCCCAAGGCCATATGAAGTGGCGTCTGCCCTCTTGAGTTTCTAGTTTCGAGCCCTGCACCCCTACTGATTAGGAACGGTAAAGCTTGAGCCGCATGCCACCAGTGATAGCCTTTGGCAAGCCAGTGAAGAGCTCTATCTTCATTGATGTCAACCCCAAAGGTCTCTACGAGGAGACGGACCATGTCGAACACGGGAACCTCCTGGTGGACTGCCTGCAACAGGAATGCTTGGCGATATTCAATGCCATTGTGGTTTGACACGTCGTGGGCCCGTGTCTTATTGTGGCCAAATCCAGGTTGTTTTCCGTCAGCCGGAGGGTGCCAAGTACCGTCTTCGACCTGCGCTTGAGACATGAGCAAGCCAATGCGGTTGACAAGAGAAGTATAACCTCCTCTGACAAGGGCCCCCAAGTTGGTAAGCCCACTGATCTGGTGAGGAGCCAGGAAGTCCACGCCCAAATTGAACAACTCTTCAATGGCATCGTACTCGCGACGTCTTAGTCGCGTGATGAACAAAGTCTCATTTGCTTTGCCTGGCACAATGACTCCAGGCTCACGGAGTGCCTTGCATGTGGCGTCCAGTCGGTGAGGGATGAGCTTCTCGTCAAAGTTAGGTAGTCCCTGGCCAAGCTGTGCTGCTGCTTGCGAGCTCTTTAAGGATTGCTTCTTGGCTGCACCTGATAGACACTTTAACGCGTAGTCTCGACAGCCAGAAATGGTGGTATCGGTTAGAGACCCATATGCTGTGTCAATCGTGCCCCAGAGGTTTTGCTTGGTCAGATCAGCGCCGTGTTCCAAGACCATCTCTATAATCTCTTCGAGTCTTGCCGTGTCCTCGAGGGAATCGAGTTTATCCCTGCCGTTGCGCCCACCGCCCGGATATGGACGTGTGGCATCTTCCTTCGTAAGACCCCCACACGCCCCATTCTCCTTGTCGTGAGGTAATTTCCTACGCCATAGTTCGAGCTCATCCTCGAACCCGGTAACCGCAAGCCGTAAACTCACTCCCTTGACATTGGCTCCAGCGTCAAACAACATTGACACTACCTCTGGTCTCCCTGAGAGAGCAGCGTAGTACAGTGGTGTGCAGTCACAACCGTTTATGGATCCGTTGGCTGTGGTATTGACCCCAGTGATTGGGCTAGCACTCGTTGCTCTCAGCCAGGCTCCTTGCCTAATCTGACTATCAAGGGGTTTGTCCAAATCTCGTCTGTGGAGAGCATCAAGAAGCATGCCAACAATGTTGCCCTGCCGACATCTAGCAGCGAGGTGAAGCGGCGTCAATCCTTCGTATGTCTCAATCGTAGGGTCCGCACCGGCATCAAGCAGCTTTTTGGTGAGATACTCTGACACGGTTACGGCTAGATGTAACGGGGAAATACCGTCCTTGTCGCGAACATCAATGTCTTTGGTAAGAGAAATAACCAGTGAAAGGCAGGTCTCGTCTTTGTCGATGTGACTACCTTCGGTCGTGGTACAAAGCCGATGAAGTGGTGTTCGACCACGATTATTGGGTTGATTGACGTCAAGTCCTAAGTTGAGCAGCATCCTCAGCATGTCGAGCATGTCCTTGGGTCTGTAGTCAATATGGATTCGCCAGCATAACTCATGAAGCAAATTGTTGCCCCAGTAGTCTGTGTCATGAACGTCCAGACCCAGGCCCACAAGGAAGTCAAAGGTGGAAGGACCAGGGTTCTGTTGACCGAAAGAGGCCAGAGGCACTTTTTGTGACTTGACTACCTCGTGTAGAAGGGTCCTCCCCTCAAAGTCTCGAGTTTTCAATAAGGCACCCCGTTCCAGAAGCTTCATGATCGTATCCTGCAAGTCCTTCTCTGAACTGGAGGCCTGTCCTGAGACAGTCTGAAAGAGAAGTGTTGCGCCATGTTTGTCCCTCGTATTGATATCCACGCCGGCTTGAATCATGACGGTCATCAAATCGAAGGCTCGGGAGTTCCGCGAGAACATGGCATCCATGGGCGTTTGTCCGGATTTGTTCCTCAAATTTAAGTCTGCGCCAGCGCGTAAGAGCGCTTCTATGACTTGAGGTTCGGCGCTGTAGGATTGCAAGGAAATGTGCAAAGGCCCATTGCCGTTGTTATCAACGATGGTGCAGTCGGCGCCGTACTCGATGAGCTTGAGGGTCGTATCTGTATGGCAGTCTTCGAGTGAGATAAGAAGCGGCGTTTTCCCATTAGAAAGGGCCCTCTTATTGATTTCGGCCTTACCAATTTCGACGAGAAGAGACAGAGACTCAACCAACAACATCTTCACGTGAAGGGCAGTGTAGCCATCGTCATTGACGACATTGACATCGACGCCTGCGTCAAGCAGAATTCTCAGCCATACGGGATTGCCGGTTGTTATGTGCAGTAGAGAATTACCAGAAGGAGATCGATCGTGAATGTTGGCCCCCTTCTCTATGAATAACTCTAGCAGGCTCTTGAGCTTATCTGGTTTGGCTTTTGGATAATTTCCTCTGCGAGACTGTTCGAGAGCGGCGAATAAAGGTGTGATTCCAATAATTCGATTTTGGTCGTTTCCATCGTGAGGCAGGAACACTCTCATGCCGCCCATCCCAGCAAATGCATCATAAAACTCACATCGGATTGTTGGGTCCGCTCCCTCATTGAGGAGAAGCTCCATGGTCTTGATGTGAGCGCACTGGCTTGCCATGAATAGAGGTGTCCCGCCGCGGACCTTGCGATTGATATCAACCTCAGGATGTTGGAGAATCCGTTGGACTAAATCGTGCTGGCCCGATCCAGCAGACCAGGCAAGGGCTCGATGGAGGAGTTCTTCATCTTTGAGAAAAGGCAGAAATGCCTCCAGGGCTTTCAGGTGCCCATTCTGGCAAGCATACTGCATAATCAAAAGGTCAGCAAAACGATCGATAGTTGCGCAGACACGTGGTCGGCAGAGACACTGTTACTGACCATCAGGGGTGTATGTCCGATAGACCGAGGTGCGTTTCCGCACCGACGCCCCGGGTTCTCCCTTGTCTTCTCCGTCAAGGGATTGACTCCAGCGCTCAGGAGGACTTTGATAACCTCTGGATGGTTCTTCGAGGCGGCCTCGTGCAATGGCTTGCGACCACTACTAGTCTCATCATGATCGGGATTTGCACCAGCGTCTATGAGGACCTGAATAACGTCGGCCATCCCATTTGTAGCAGCCTGCCATAAGGGTGTCATACCGTAAACGTCCACCGCGTCTATCTCGGTCTCGGGAGACAGAAGAAGATGTTTTGCGTATGCAGTGAGCCCATGCATTGCAGCGATGTGGAGAGGCGTTATGCCAGAGTTAGCATTACCGATTGTGAACCACTGGAGTTTGATCCAGATATCCCGAGAATCCGGATCACGCATTAGCTTATCCAGTGCCACATTGATGTCGGTCTGATCATGGCCTGTGGCTGTTGATCTAGCAACATGGACATGCCAATTATCCAACGCATATGCTAAGAATGGATAATTGAGCTTGAGTTTGACAATTGGAGTGTCTCGTGCTTCTTTGCTTCCGCCGAAGACCCCGGAAAGCAGATACGCCAGACATGCTGAGCCGAGGCAAGCATGCGTGTCTCCACAGCGAAATACAGGGTAGCCGGTATCAGATGATGATCTGGTTGTGCCCTTGAGGTATTCTGTGAAGGAATGGTGGATGACACAGACAGTTTCGTCCGGCAAGATCTCCAAGAGAGGACCACATGCAGCTCTAACGAGGTCTTTGGTGCCCTTCAAATCATGAGCAACGTCGTTGGAGGTAACGTCGATCATCTCAGCTATCTCGAGGAGTCTAAGCGGACGGGTCGCATGAGTAACCCACTGCAGAATCAGACGTTGAACAGCGTCGGGGACTCCTGATCTGCGGGAGTGTTCGTGGAGCAAGTCGGTGTACATCTGGTTCATGTCGGCTGGTAAAGAGGCGAGAACTGCCTTCACATCGGCCCCTGCCTCGAGGAACGAGTCCATGGCCAGTTTGGCATAGAGAAAAAGGCCATTAGCCCGACCTGGAATGGCCTCCTGGATGAGTTGTCGATCATGGTCAGAGATATCTGAAACATTCAGTGCTTGTCGCACAAATGTCGAAATATCGGCATCGACTACGTCCTCTTGAAGACGAATTTGAATGCATTTGGCATGTCGGAGAGGACCCTCGACGGCGGGGACCGGACGACTTGTGATGAGGACTTTCACTTTCGAGGGATACCGACTACCAAGGTTGGCCAATGCCTGTAGAAAGACATCGTTGCCACGATCCATTTCGTCGAGAGCATCAGCGACGCAGTAGACTTTACCTGGCAGTCCCGAAAAGGCCAGTCGAAGGTCGTCCCATAGGTCTTGCATCGACATGGTGGCAAGTGATCGAGTTTTGTCGCTATATTTCTCCTTCACAACGTACCCTTTCAGAAGCTTCTGGAGTGGCGGGCTGTATGCCAAGACTTGGTCCAGCCAGTCTCTGAGAAGTGCAGCCGATTCATGATTCGCGTCAATAATTTGTCGAAAGAAGAAGTACAGTACCGGGCTCCCTTTGTCGTTACCCGAGAGTTCCTTGATGATCTTCGAAGCCAACACCGACTTTCCGGACCCTGGGATCCCTTTGACCCATAGCAGACCGGTACCTTCGCTCTGTAGCCATTGCTTGTAAGAATGGCTGGCCGTCAGCCAGTCTCCAGTACCTGGGATGTGCGAACCAAGATGCTTGCGGTACTCGCTGCTTTTGAAGTCGTATGAAGTGGGTCTCAGCCAGGCTCTGAGTTTCTCAATAACCTCGGGAGACTCGGGGAGAATATGTTCGGGATTGTAGTTGCTGACATCGTCGCGGTCGATAATCACAGCATCATCTTCGCTTTGAGAAGTCATTGCTTGTTGGCGACGGAACGAGTCCGAGGAACCTGCCTGACTTAGGAAAGTAGTCGGCCGAGGTCAGGCCCAAGTTGATATTGATTTGGATGAGCAGAAAATTGATGGCGAGGTAAAATGCTGATCACCCAGCAGCGATGAACAAGGGCTAAGGTGTGATTCAATAGAGAATTGCTAAGGTTCTTTTGACTCATATCACCGAACAAGGCGACCAGGCAGCTGCATGTCAACGGGGGTTGAGCTGTTGCCTGCGTGTATACTGCCTTAATAAGCGGGTTAACCGAGGCGGCTGCTTCCCGCGAGCTGTTGATTCCACCACTGTTGCCTGGTAGGATCGGCAACAATGGAAAGCAACGCCTTGGCTGCAGCCTTTCGATATTGTCAGACACAGTCATTGTTGCGTGAGGGGAAATGAGCTGATGGATCGGAAGTGTTCTGCCGCAACTGGAAAATTGAAGTACATGGTTGACTTATTGCCCAACATCATTGGCATTATTCGTGTCTAAGATAAGGCACTTTACATGGAGGAAGTAAAGATGAAATCTGAATGATTATCTATTGTCATCATCTGTCGCGAGTGGAAACTGGCTACAGTTTTGGCCAAGGGAAGTCCAAAAGACAAATAGAAGGTGGTAGGAGTTCATGAATGGGATTTGAAAGCCGGTTCATCGGCGCCAGGGAACTTCTTGAGAGACTTGGGACATGAAGACGGTTGGGCACGCATGATACTCAATATTCTAAGGAGCTATCCCGTCAACTGAAGAATGGCGTCATGCTGTCAGCATATTAAAGTATGCATATTTTCAGGGTAATAGCAAGTGTGATGTTGATCGAATCCTGTTTCCGTTATTCCCTCTTGAGATATGGCAAGTGCCTAGATGTAAGTTAGCAATGATATGGAGGTGCCTAGACTGATGCTAATCCGCAGCTAATGGGATGAGATAGAAAAAGAAAATCACTGTAAGGTCGGGCGGCTTGCAACCAATGAATGCTACGCAATTCATATACTCAAGGTACCTATGCAAGACGGTAAATATCTACTAGGCACCGCAGAAGATAAGCGCCATAACCGCGGATCCGTGGACCCTTCTTTACTTAGTGGTGTGCGTTATCATTCTCATGACAGCCCAGGGTGCCGACCCAAACGGACTCATCCGAGACTAAAAAGTGTGGGATAGTTGTGTGGTCGCATCGCAGGAGCCGTGCTACCCAGGCCACATAATCCATGTCAATGGAGGCATAAGGATCAGACGCGAAAGAAATGGGATAGGGCTGACAGCTTTCGGCCGATATCTGCAGTCTAAGATAGTAACACTCACAAGTTTGCCTGTAACCCCTGATGCAGCTAGGCCGAGGCTGGAATGTTTGCTTGCCAGTCGCCAGACTGACATGAACTGACCCCAGATATCCACTTTGTTAGAACTACGGATACCTTCTCACAAGTACCAACCACTGACCCTGCGCATTGGGCTACCTAGCATGGATGGACGGACTATAATAGCTGAATCGATGTATGGAGAGGAGGATGACGAGTGCGGAGAGCCAGCACAGTACGGCACTTGGATGCGTGGCCTGGGTTCCCTACTGGCAGCACTAGAAGAGTAGAACATCATGTTCGAATCCTGTTGGTCGGAAACCAAACATTAGAACTTAGGCAAGATGGCGGGGAGAAAGCGGACACGAAATGTCGACTTACCAACTGACTGGATGATGGGAATCTTTGATGATTTGGAATTTACGATGTTTTCCTTCCGGGGTGTCGCAGGTCAGTTCTGGGGCCCAAGCTCCTGGCTGGACCGGGGATGCACGGGCCACACTCGGACACGATGCTCCGCCTTGAGATTTTGCGGCGTTCAATTGGTGGCTGGTGGTGGGGCTGCACCTCGACTTAGCTCTTTACTTACGTCATTACCCAGTCACTGCTGGCAGCTGCTGTGCTCATTCATTCCTTCCCGCATAAGGTAAGGTAAGGCAGCTAGCTAGCTGTGTCTGGCGACTTGGCTTGGATGGTGACGATTTTCAACGACACAGCATCAATTCCACACAAACAGGCCGACGATACCTTGGCCAGCTTGAGAACCTACCGTCCATCAACAACCCTCAAAGTGCATCGAACATTATACTAGGCTTCAACTGAAGTCGCATTACGAAATGATGTCCTTCTTCGGCTTCGGCCGCCCATCGCGCGAGGAACGCGAGCGCGAACCTCTACTGCCGCGTTACAACGACGACACAGCCTTGCAGCAGCGCCTGCACGAGAAGCTGCACACGTACCAGATGCTACGCGCCATCGGGAAGGGTTACATGCCATCTAATGAACAGCTCATCATCAACCTGCGCAGTCTACTGTCTGCTGACGTCCTCAACCCTGATACCCCCGACCTCAGCGACTCTGGGCGAGCCCTGGTTCTCAACGTCAAGCTTTTGATCAAGCAACTTATCGAGCTACTGTTGCATAAGAACGACAAGGACCAGATCCAAGATTTCATCTGGTATCTCACCAAGGCTCGTCTGTCAGTTGATGCGTACGACATCGGTGCACGAGCATCCAAGGCAAAGGCCAGAGCCGACACTGTAGCAGGTGGGTCGTCTCTATTTAAATAACACCAGCAACCCCACGTTGGCTCCAACCAAGGAAAGAAAGTTTGTTCAGAGTTTAAACTGACAATTGCCAAGCATACAAAAGCTTACAAACGGTGGGCTCCTTGTTATTAACCAACTCGGATTTTCGCCTGCTACTTTCGGATCTGAGCACTATTGGTCGAGAGGTCTTCCGCGATACTGCGTTCACCCTGTCGGACGTCTCGAAGCAGGCGGCTAAGGAGATTGAGCCCTCAAAAGAGGAAGAAGAAGCCGTCAAGCATCCCAACGGAGATTCGAAGCCTCCCCCAACCAAGGACGATTTCGAAGATGAGGTTGTCGACATCGCAAAGGTTGTCACTGACGGTGTTGCTCGTGTCGCTGGCGAAGCGGGCCAGAGCTTGACGGAGCATGTCACTGGCGACGAACAAGAGACCCTGGTACATAGGCTCAAGAGCACCATTGTCAATTTGCGCGAGAGAAAGGACTACTCCGACTCCGTATCGACTCTCTCATTACTCATCCGGCGATATTTGTTGGCCTATTCGCACGCAGTTTCCGACACTATCCAAGTCGCCCAAGAAGATATCGACACCAATCCAGAGGCTGATCGTGCGCTCCACAACTTTTGGCTGTTCTTGACGTCTTTGGGGAACCGCGAGCACTGGAACGATGTTGAGGCTCAGTTCAAGGCGGTCATGGAGCATGGTCACAGCGATCCAGAATTTGACAACCTCGTCAGACAGATCGGCAATCTGCTCCAGGACATACTGACGGATCCTGACTTCTTTGATCACGCCGAGGATCGCTTCAAGGAACTGAGAGCCAAGTCGAGACAGTTAACATCCGAGTCCTCAATACGCGATGATCTTGACGCTTTGTTAGAGAAGGTCTATCTTGCTCTCAACTCTGTGCTTCAAGACACAGATATCAAGAAGGCCATGAACACCACCAGAAGAATCCTGCGAATTTTATCGCCTGCACATCAATACACCAACGGCGAATTGGTGGCAGACTCCATCAACGTTTTCATACCCATGGTAGTACAGGCAATTCAGTACATCCCGATTCCTCGGGTGGAAGTATCGGTGCCGGCTATCGATCTTCTTTTGGAGAACCTTATTTTGGAACCGGGGCGCACTGTCAACAACAGCTCCTTCCTACCGTTCAAGATCAATGTTTCCACACAGAATGATGTCGAGATCCGCAAGGCCCGCTTCCGTACCACGTCCTCGGTGAAGACTCTGATGAGGATTACAGTATCAGGCTTGTCGATTGCTGCCGAAGACCTCGGATATTGGCTGCGCCTCCACTCTGGAATATTGAGGTTGGCAGATGCTGGCATTGCGGGTTTTCACCTGGATGAGCGTGGAATCGATGTTGCTATCGATGTGGAGGTTGGAAAGGAGCGGCTTGAGGACATATTGACGCTGCACAATGTCCGGGTCCGCATCCACCATCTCAATTACAGCCTCCGAAAGAGCAAGTTCTCCTGGCTCGCTTGGCTACTCAAGCCTCTGATTCGGCCAACGGTGAAAGCCGCATTGGAAGCTCAGATTGCGACTAGCATTGGCGAGCTGCTTCATTTCGCCAACAGAGAAGTCCTTTTCGCGCGCGAACGATTGAGGGCCACTCGTATTGCCGACCCGCAGGATATGTGGACATTCCTTAAGGCCGTGGCGGCCAGGCTGGTACCCCCCGAGGACCCCGATCTGTACACCCGTGTGGGTGTCGCGCAACCTGGACGGGGAGTTTTCAAGGGTGTGTATGCCCCTGGTAGTCTCGTTAAAATGTGGAACGAAGAGGCTGCGCTGGCAGGCGACCGAGTGCACGAGTATCAACGAGACGGGTGGCGCAATTCCATCTTTGATGTCGGAACAACAGGCACAACGCTTTAACGTTGCACCGAGTGCTGCGCGCGGGTAAAATGGCGCAGTCGCTGTCACGCCAGGGGAGCACAACGGTTGAGGCAGCCAAGGATGAGAGCAAAACAAGATCAGGCACGGTATGGACTCGAAACTGCAAAATATTTTTTTCTTTCGTTTCAATGTATTTCTAGAGGCAATAACACATGCAGGGAGAAACAGGACCTAGGCGAAAATGGCAAGTCGTATGAATCCAAGGCTACATTACGAAAACGACCATTTGCATGTGGGCTTGGGTCTTGAAGATTCGGGTGGTGGGTTGGACTACGGATGGCACTGTAACCATCTAATGCGCTGCACACTGCACGCCACGCAGATCACAGCAACATTCGGCGCAAAAGTTCCTCCTTGCTCACATAACCGTCCTCCCTTAACAAGTTGATGGGGGTGCAGTGACATTGACACGCCATCCAAATCGAGGAGGTGCACACTATCGCGATATCGATGCCAAGAGTGCATGATGGACATCTAAAGTGCAATCACTGCCATCGCTCTCTTTTTGCTTCCGAAATCCAAGACGACGTGGCACGGTGGCATTTCAAAGAAAGTTCGATTCATCAGCTGCCGTATCTAGTAGAGTTTGCTGCCCAGCATCACTACGAATATGGTCCCCGACCATCAGTAATCAACTAGTCAACAACGATCGATAAGCCCGAGGCGCGTGGAATCCACGGACTCGAGTAGAGTAGTTGGATCGAGTCATCCGAGCGTACGGAGTCTACCGATTACCTTATAGTGCGTATGATGACCATGCAGCGCGGTTCCCGGCGCGTGACATTTGCTGCGGTTCTCTCCCGAAAGTTACGTACGGGCCACCCGAAACCTACGTGTGCTTGAAGTCGGGACGTCGCTTTTGCAGGAATGCGGTCATTCCTTCATTGAAATCGCCAAGGCTGAAAGTCGAGTAGTAAAGAGATTTCTCCATGGTCATCCCAGCATCAAGATGGCTATTCTCGACTGTAGCAGGGTTAGCGAGTCAGAACACGGGGTCCGCACAGGGGCCCGCCCCCTCGATCCCTTGGTGGAATTCGGAGCCACCCCGTAGTAGCGGTTTTGGAGTCGGAGTAGCCCACCTGTGAGAACGGCTTGCTTCGCAGTTTTGGTCACGGGGCCCGACATGACGGCGATGCGCTCAGCGAGCTTCATGGCAGCTGGCACGACCTCTTGACGTGGGAACACCTTGTTGACAACGCCGAGACGCTCAAACTCGGCACCACTGGCTGAGTCGCCGGTAAGGACGAACTCCATGGCCTATAGCTGGTCAGTTCGTCGGTTTCAAGGTGAGCGCGAAGATTTCGGCTGTTAAAGTCGGCCAACACGAGTCAATCGGCTGGTTTTTGGCTACTCACCTTGTGCTTGCCCAACGCACGAGCTAGACGCTGAGTGCCGCCCGCGCCTGGGATCGTTCCGATCTTGATTTCTGGGAGTCCGAACGAAGCATCTTCGGCGGCGTAGATCATGTCGCACTGATCGTGAAGGGTCAGCCATTTGGGTTTTACCTCGCAGAAACATGTGGGGGCAACTCTTGACTTACTGCTAAAGCGATCTCGCAACCACCGCCCAACTTGAGGCTCTCACGTTAGCCTTGTTTCTGTGAGACACGCGAGGCAACAGAGAAAAAGAAAAGCACAGATCTTGGGAGGCGGCTCCCACTTCCGACACCACAACTTACTGCGAAACCAACTACAGCCGCGATGATGGGCTTGGAGAAGTTGGCAAAGGCGTCTGTTAGGTCCTTGAGAAAGGCGCGCTGGTGGGCCGCTGCCGTGGAGATCTGCACCAGCTCATTGAGATCCATCCCGGCTGCACCACAAAACGGATTAGCCAACGTCGCGCCTCCATTGGATTAGATTAGAGGGGGGGCCTGCCAGTGGGACCCTGGTGCGGATTTTCATGACGTTTCAGGGACTTGGAAACAAGAACGACAGCGGACATCCCCCTGTGTATCAAGTCCGTGGGGAATCAGATGGAGTTGAGATGGCAGTTGCTTGGTCGGGAAATCATTAACTGCCGTGCGCGGCGCCAACGATGATGAGTGTGCAGATGCACGTGGAAAGGCAAAGGAAAAAGGAAGTGAAGCCGAGGAAGACGAGTTGAGGACAGAGGATCCAACGACGGGGGTAAGCTTGTTGCGCCCCCCTCCAGACATGGTTTTCTGGAGCCCAACTCTGAAATCTGTCTCGACTGGTATGAGGAGAATTGCAAAACGTACCACAGAAGGGACCTTCAGGGCCACCAGTAACGACAACAGCGCGAATGGTCTCCAGGGCATCGAGATGAGCCAGAGTCGAAACAAGTTCGCCGATCATGACCTGAGAGAAGGCATTTCTCTTGGCCGGACGGTCAAATCGAACCAGGGCGACGCCCTTCTCGGAGTCGACCGTCAACTTGAGAGTGGTGAGGTTCTCCATGATTTCTCGGGAGCCGGGGGAGTTGCCGTACGAATAGAGCCACAAGAAGAATGAAAAAGAGTTTGAAGCTAGCGGATCACCGGAGTGCGACGACTGATTAAAAAACGTGGAAATTTGGAGGTAAGGCGAGGTGACTCAGGCGAGAGAGGGGCTGTGTTGTTGTTGGTGGTTTTGTTGAAGCAGCGTGCTCAGCACATGGCAGAGAGACAAAGAAGTCGAAGTCGTCGGATCTTTTCTTCTCCCGGGTGTTGCTTTCTTTCTTCCCAGAAACCCTTTTCTTCTTCGCCAGCAACAACATCGCCGCAATTTATTAGAGAATCCCACCCGGCTATGACCGAATTTGGCCGAGGGGAGTGTCGACCTGGAGTAGCGTCACATCTTGCCTGGGGGTGGGCTCGCAGAAGAAGAACAAAACTGGCATGAGGGTCTTCAAGGGAGAGGGGTGGGCGGCCAAACGGTCGACAGGCATCATGAGCCGCGGAAGCCAGGGTTGCCCCCGGGAGGATGTGCAGACAGGGGTACCATCCATGGCAGAAGCAAGGCACAACCCGCACAGGCGCCTAGCTTCCCTTCTTCCCTCCTCCTCCACGATCGCGGCACGTATGTAATGGATGGCACATGTCGACTGATTGACAACAACTTTGTCAGCCCCCCTGGTCATTATCCATCTCCAAGACGTCCGTCCTCCACTGCCGTGCCCCTTGTTACATCCCACGGCAACGCCTCGCAAGGACCGCGAGGTGCTCCATCGACGAGACAGAGGACGACAGCTGCCGCATTGGGCGGATGTGGTCCGGATTGCCCTCCGTTTTTCCCGGATTTGGACGTCTCGTCCGGCGTGGCCCCGCCGAACGGCCAGCGGTCCTGTTACCGCGGAATGGAGACAGTCGTTACGACAAAATTTCTGCCCACATCTAAAGGGGAGGAGGCGGATTCCCGACTGCTCCAGACGCTCCCTTGGCGGCCGTGCCTGTCACGACGAAATATAGTCTCCCTCTACTCTTAGTCTCTCTTGCGCTTGCATCCATGGTCACGGATCCGCTTCTCCGTACAGTTACTGCATTCGTTCATCGAGGGATCCCGATCACATCCATAGTCTTGCAAGGTTCCTTGTAAGTGACCCCGTCTTTGCCTACACTAGTTCATCACAGAGTCGTCCGTTCTCCACACTATCTAAAACAATTGTCTGCATAGGAAGGAGCTGAAAGAAGAAAAGAGTCCAGCCCTGATATCACCCATGGACCATGCCATGGCTGACTGGGGGGCTTCTGAGAATATGGGACCTTGTTTGAACACGGAGGTTGAGGCAATCTAGGCAGGTTTTTTTTTTGGCGAAGTTTACCAAATCGAAGAATGCAATTCCCCACAGGGCCGGGGAGGGTCTGGCGCTTCTCCGTCTCTCTAGGACATTGGCGCACAAACACACAGACGCGATGGTCCCCGGGAGGAGATATATCTGGTTCGAAGTGCCCACCTCTCGAGATGTGGCTACGAGGCGTGTTACTGGTAGGCAACATCACCGCAGGGCATCAACATCCAGAAGCTCACCATCATGGCTCCCCCGCGCTCGTTCCACTCGCTAGAGAACTTGTCCCTGGCGGACAGAGTTCTCTTCAACCAATTCAGCAGAGGACCCAGCGATGTTATACCTTACCAAGTCGTCCACCACGCCTTCGAGTCCATCGCGGCAGCACATCCTGACGCCACGGCTGTCCGACACTACGATGGCACAACTATCACATACCGGGAGCTCAACCGCAGGGCCAATGTGCTCGCCAATGAGCTGAGGGGAACATACGGCCTCAGGAAAGGAGACCGTGTAGTGCTCGTCTACTCCCGATGCATCGAAATGGTCGTCTTCATCTTTGCCGTCCTCAAGGCGGGTGGTCAGTACGTCCCTCTAGATGGTGGCATCATCCCCGAAGACACACTCGGCTACGACATTGTCGACTCCAACGCGCCGGTGGTGCTGTGCCTTCCCAAGTTCAGGGAGAAGGTTCTGCGCAGCGTGCCCTCTGAAAGGCGAGACCGTGTGAGGGTCGTCGACCTCGATGCGAACAGTTGGCTGTGGACGCATGGCAACAATGGGCACCCCGGTGTCATTGTCAAGCCAGAGGATGGAGCCTACGTGATCTACACCTCGGGCACTACTGGGCGACCCAAGGGAGTGGATGTGAGACACGAGGGCGTTACCAACACCCTTCTAGCGGAGCCTTCTAAGCTGGGCATCCGCGTCGGGAAGAATGTAGCGCAACAGTTGAACGTCGGTTTCGATATGTGTAAGTCAATTGTCTCAAACTCTATCTTTTTAGTGTCCGACCACGCTGACGCGGCAATGGATACTTAGGCGCGTGGGAGATTCTCGGCACCATGATGAACGGCGGAACACTTCACATCAGAGGCAGCGGCAATGATCTCTGGACGGATTGCCTGCAGCGTGTCGATACTGTCATCGCGACACCTTCCGTAGTCCTCAAGCATATGCCCAGGCGTGAGGACTTCCCCAACATTAGGACAATCGCAGTTGGTGGTGAGCCCTGTCCGTTGGCACTCGCTGAGCAGTGGGCACCCTACGTCAAGTTCTGGAACGTATGCGGTCCTACCGAAATCAGCATTCTTAACACTGCGCATCTTCATAGGCCGGGGAAGACTTTGTCGATTGGCAAGCCTAACCCCAACACCAATGTCTACGTTCTCGACGAGGATGAGAACCCTGTCAAGATTGGCGAACCTGGCGTCATGTGGGCCGGCGGCCCAGGCGTTTCTAGGGGGTATCTCAACTTGCCGGAGTTGACGGCACAAAGATATAAGGTCGACAAGTTCGCAAAGGATGGGTTAGTTTTGCGCCTCGTTTTATTCCCCGTTCTTCCGGCCGAGACTTGGGAAAGAGAGAAAAATACGCTAACCAACACCATTCACAGTCGTATGATGTTCAACACCGGTGACCTCGCTCGCTGGCTTGAAGACGGTAGCTTGGAGCCCCTCGGCCGCAAAGACGACCAGGTCAAGATTTCTGGCTTCCGCGTTGAGCTCGATGGCGTCTCTCGCGCTATTGAGAAAAGCCCTGGCGTTGTCAAGGGATGTGCGCTGAAAATCGACGATCGTCTGTGGGGCTTCTACTCTGCCCCTGCGCCGATCGACGAAGCTCAGCTGAAGACTGTCGTCGGCGAGGGCCAACCGTTCTACGCCGTCCCGACCGTCTGGAAGTACCTCACCGTCATCGAGCTAACCCCCAACGGCAAGGTCGACAAGCGGGCCCTCCGCGATATCGCCGCTGGTGGTGCGGCCCTAACTCCTCCTCCGCTGCCTCTGGCAGATATCCCGACGGGCATGTCGACGCCCCAGCAATCGTCGAGCGCTTCGTCCATCAAGACGGCCGTCAGCCCTACCAGCGAAGGCGGCTTCACACTCGTGGACTCTCGCACCTTCACCGTCGTCGATTCCCAGCAAAGGAATATCGACTTGGAGAAGACGGCCGCATTCGTCGAGGAAGCGGCCGAGAAGGAGGAAGAAGAGTACGAACTCCCTTCCAAGAAGGGCTTCCACGGCTGGAGATGGATCCGCCACCGCGGACTCAATGCCTACCGCAAGCTCTTTGGCGTCATATTCCTCTCCAACCTCGCTGTCTTCGTGTGGATGTTGTACGAGAGCCGCAACAGCAACTTCTCCCTGCCTCTGAACCACCTGGCTACCGCCGTCGCCGCCAACCTCCTCGGTGCCGTTCTCCTGCGCCAGGACTACGTCGTCAACTTCATCTTCTGGGCATGCTCCCGTGTGCCCACCTCTATGCCGCTCTCTATTCGCAGACACTTTGCGCGTGTCTACCACAATGGCGGCGTCCACTCGGGCTGCGCCGTCTCCGCCACCGTGTGGTGGGTCATCTTCACGGGCGCCGCAACCGGCAACTTCATCGCGCCTCAGTCCCTCTACTCCGTCAACCTCATCACCCTCGTTCTAACCTATCTCATCCTTCTGCTTCTCGTCATGATTCTTGTTATGGCCTACCCCTCCATCCGTGCCAAGATGCACGACCAATTCGAGTGGACGCACCGCTTCGCCGGCTGGTCGGCCCTTGCCTTGGTATGGGCCCATGTCATCGCCACCGCGGCCTCTATGTCCGCCGAACCCCTCGGCCCGGCCCTGGCCAAGACACCCGCGCTCTACCTCGTGGCTCTCACGTCCCTCAGCATCGCGCTCCCCTGGATGCGCCTCCGCCGCGTAAAGGTCGTCCCCGAGCCGCTCTCCAAGCACGCCGTCCGTCTGCACTTTGACTTCTGCACCCCGGGGCCCTGCACTTCGCGCGGCGTCCGCATCACCGACAGACCCATGGTCGAATGGCACGCCTTCGCCGCCATCCCGGAGCCGAGCGGTAAGGGCTTCTCCATCGTCGTCTCCAAGGCGGGCGACTGGACCAAGCGCATCATCGAAAACCCCCCCACCTCGATCTGGACCCGCGGCACACCCGCGTCAGGCGTCCTGGCCGTCGCCCCGCTCTTCAAGAAGATGGTCCTCGTGGCGACGGGCTCTGGTATTGGTCCCTGCCTGCCTGTCCTCATGGAGCGCCGGGTCCCCGCGCGCGTCGTCTGGTCGACTAAGAACCCGCTCAAGACGTATGGGCAGGGCGTCATGGATCTAATTCTCAAGGCGGACCCCGACGCGCTGATTTGGGATACGGATGAGCGCGGTAGGCCTGATTTGGTGCAGCTGGCGTATAATGTGTATAAGGAGAGCGGGGCCGAGTGTGTTGCGATTATTTCCAACGGGCCCACTGTGAATAAGTTTGTGTATCGGATGGAGGCGAGAGGGATCCCTGCATTTGGACCGATTTGGGATTCATGAGCGTTGTGTCGTCATCCTTTCCTTTTCTTTTACTGTCATGTTGTTTCTTGGGCGGGATTCTCCTTTTGTTACAAGTTCTACCATACCAGAGTCGTTTCATTGTTCTCGTATAAATTAGCATGTGGTCTAGACCGTCCTTCGTATCTTGGACGAGCTTTAGATTGTCAAATACCAATTTGAAACCAATTTAATCATCGTCTGTATCTCGTCTTGCTTCTGTTTAGTCTTTTCATGAGATCCAAGTTCATTTACCCCTTATGTAACCGCTCAAAAGACCGACGTGAGTTCTCTAGACCAGAAATTGGCAATGCGTGTGGACCCTTCTACTCATGTTGACTGGCACACGTAAGATTGGGCGGAGGCTGAAGTTCAGAATCACGGAGTGGATTCAAGCGGGATGTCCACAATTCTCGTCACGCGATGCTCACCACCCAAGCTCCGGCTCCAGCCGAAGCCGGAGGTCTTCGTATTCTTCTATAAGTCTTTACTAGTTTGGTGATTTTGGAAGTTTGGGGCAAATTTTGGCATGTTATCGGCTACCTAAGACTAGGTAATCGCAAGTATCTCCACAAATAGAGTATTGCTGTAATATTAAGGACGACAGGAGCTTGGCTGCTGGCCGACTTTCACGCAGCCTTACGCGCTTCGGCATCACTAGTACGATATCAGCTCACAACCTTTTGTACAGGACGTGCCGAAAAGGCAACCTTTGAAAATTACGTCAACTTACGTTACCACGTAGGGAAACTCAAGGTACCGGGCTTTTTTTAGATGTAGACTTGCAAGGTGTAAGTAAAAGGCGGTTTATTAGATTCTGTGTAGGTAGTCGGACACGGAAGGCGGTCCGGGCCGTATAAAGTGTTCTTCCACTTACTTACAACTTCCGGATCAACAGTGACATCGCCCAATTCCTCCTCCTTCCATACAACTTACACAGCAATACAACCAAATATTGACCTTCGTACCAACCTTACGGTTTCCTTACTGACGTGTATACCGACACTGTTCCTCTCGTCCAGAGGCTCCCTGTGTGCCTGGCTACGTGGCAGTGCATCAAGCACGCAAAACAAGCTAGTTGGTTCCTCATCTACTTGCCCAGGAGACACGGACGCCGTAACACGGTATCAGCTACCATGACAGCAAGATGTGTCGGAGCGAACGAGATCGAAATAGAGTAGCGTTACATGCCGCATGCCGCCGGGACTCCCGTCGCCTCACTTTCTTCCGGCCCGGTGGGATGAAGATATTGTGGGCTTGCCGGCTTGGAGGTGTAGGATTTGATCGTACAAGGAACAAGGTAGCATGCTCATGAGTCGCCAACGTTCCCATCCGGATACAAGCTTTTCGGCACTCGAGTCCCATGCAATATTTCCAAAATCGGCAAGTATAGTACTAGAATAGTTCGTTGTGTGGGATGTCGCAAGTTGATACTGACTTATTCTACACATTGACCTCCATAGCCGATCTACACCTCAGGCGTAGCTGACCAGAGAAGCAAGTCGTTCAATGTGGTCAACAGGGGAAAAGAGTGTTTGAGTCAATACCCAAAATGAAGTGGATTGTTTTCCATCTTTATTGTTCGTATGAGAATCGTTTCCTAAATAGGCAATTTGGCATCGTTTAGAATACGAATACTAGAGTTTTTCATACTCAAGACAAACCGTCCAATTGACGGGTCCCAACACAACGGTCACTCCGCCTCATGATGCACGACAGCGGGGAGAAATGCACTTTCTGTGAGAACTGAGTTCTGTCACCCGGCTATCAACCCCACAAAAGCTGCAAACTGTTGTCTTGCTTTTGGCAGCTTGATATTTCAGTTCACGTAGGTGGCAACTCACAACTTCAAAACCCATGAGTGCGATTGAAATCGCCCGGGGAGATGTTCGATTCCGGTGACGGTTCTCTACATCACCTGAGTGGCGAGACCGAAACCAGAGTCAGACGTGGAACTTGCGCAACCTCAATTGCAGCCCTTCAGGGCAGAACAAGACAAATAAGCGGAATGAGGCAGCTGAATCGCAGTCTGCATCCATAGGCTTACGTCGCCCTCCCCACCGGAATGAACCTCAGCCGGAACGTCTTTAGAGCCACCAGACTTCATCCCATATTCCGCGACGGGCTTGCCGTGGGCGGTTCGTCGCTGACATTTCGTGTCATTCGTATTAGGCCCGAGCTGATCTGCGTTGTGTTGCTGACGATATGTCCGCTTTTTGGAGCAAGCCCGCAATCTGACGAAAAGTCCCATCTTTTGAAACGATCTACAGAGGGGCGGGTTGAAAATCGTTCAATGTTCTGAAGCACTCTGCGGTTGAGAGTCTATTGTTTTGCCCCCAGCGGACCATGCAGATCTCACACAGACGCACATCTGCGCTCCGCTTCCGTGACACCCAGTCCTGACATCAACTTGTCAACGTAGGGCAGAAGCGGGAACAATGACAGATCATCGAACATGTTTGACCCCCCCCCCCCCCAGGAGACCAGACAAGCACGCGGCGGCTGCACAGCCCGGAAAGTTTCGCAGAGAGTCATTAATGGCCGTGTTCACTGTTTGTTGATTGCCGCTGATGGCGACGAACCAAAACGGTCCTCACGCGCGCGCGAACTCTGCTGTAGGTCCTCTTCGTATCCCCGTATCCGTCTCTTTTCACCGGGAAAAGGTCTCTGCCTATTTTCTTGCATACTCACTTCTTCCTGCGCGTCATTCAAGTCAACCTCTTTGATCCCCATCTCAATGTAATCTTTCATCTCTCGCAAAAAAGGACCTAGCTCATCTTTTCTTTCCAAATCTCGAAAGTTCGAATCAAAACGTCCTCTCATCTACAACCTCCCAAGAGCGCGCTAGACCATGTCAACGCGCTCGACACAAACCGTCCTAGAGACGCCGACAATGCTGAGGAAGAGATCTGGCTTTCTGATTCTTGCCGAATATGACAAAGCCGGAGCTCTCAAGACCAAGTATATCGAGTCGGCTCCGACTGCTGGGTCATCTAGGGTCGATCTCACGGTAAGCTCCGCAAACAACATGGAGGACCCCTGGTCCCCCTCCTTGCATCGATGTCTTGATGGAAGACAGAGGAGAGTTTGCATGTGATTTGACACTCGTTCGCATAGCTCCCTCCCAGGAGAAAGAAGCCTTGGCAAGAGCTTCTCGAAATCTTCTTGCCAGATGGTTATCCGCATAGCGTGACAGACGACTATGCTGAATATCAGATTTATGTGAGTAAACACGGATGCACACCAAGAGGGATCTAGTCTAGCTCACGCTTTAGCAGGACTCTCTTCAAGCCTTTGCTGGCACGATTGCCGGTATGATTTCCTCGCGCGCTGTTTGGCAAGGTAAGAACTTCTCTTCATTGTCCCGGCTAATCTTGCCCTCGCTTACTCCATCATCCTTGTAATGCTATGTGCTGATCACCAAACAGGTCTGGGTGTAGGAGACTCATTAGCATCACCGACTGGGGCTATGCTCATCCAAGTCACTCGAGAATCTATGGGAAGACTCGCAACCATCACATTTGCTCATCTGTTTACGACTTCAATCGAAGCAGAATGCAAGGCATACCGCATGGCCTGTGACCTGTTGACCGACACGGCGATGGTTCTTGACTGCGCATCTCCCTATTTTCCGCAAGAAGTCAGGTTTCTGGTTCTCTGTCTCTCCAGCATCCTGTATTCCGCATCTGGTGTCGTTGGGAATGCATCCAAAAGCAGTCTTAGTGGTCACTTTGCCAAGTGGAATAATCTTGGCGAGCTCAATGCCGTAAGTGTTGAGACTTATCTTATGAAAGATTGTGGTTACTAACGGTTCGTAGAAAGATGCCAGTCAAGAGACAGCAATTTCTCTGATAGGAATGCTCGTAAGTCGACAACGAGATGCATCTATCTCCCAGTCTTTCGCCTTTCGCCTTTACTAACAAATACATAGACGGGAACGTGTCTCTTGTATTTCCTGACCGACGAGACATTATCATGGATCGTGCTCTTTATCCTCCTAGGCGTCCACCTCCTTCTCAACTGGAGGGGCGTTCGAGCAGTACACTCACGTCAGCTAAATCGCCAACGTGCCAACATTGCTTTGTCGGCATTGTTTTCGAAAGATGAAGTTCTCACACCATTAAAGGTTTCCCAAAGAGAACTAATCTTCGAGAAGCGTGGGGGAGAAGTCTTTCGATGGAACTGCGGACCAGCATTTGGCCACTGCAAATTTGGAGTACCCCTCAAGAGGCTGCTTGAAGCTTTGGCCTATGGAAAGACCCACGAGATGTCCTTTCAGCTCTCATGTGTTGACTTGTATACACTCATGGAAGTGTTCGACTGCGAGGAGTACGTTCTCTGGTGTCAGGTGTCAACCGCAGCCAACGACGCGGCCTCCAAAATCAAGGTCATCACTGTCCTGAAAGAAGGTGTGACGCCGAGGTCACAGCTGAAAGCTTGGTTCCATGGTCTGTTGCTGGCCAGAAGACTCAGCGGACAGGAGGAGGCGAACTTGGTGCGAGCTGAATTCGATCAACAAGCAATGTTGGGCCATGTGGAGGAGAGTTTGCAAATCGCCAACGAAAAGTATGACCTGTACGCGAGGAGACTAGCTTCTGCGGGCTGGAACACCGAGGTTCCTGTGCTGGAGACCCGAGCAGGCTCTCGCATTATTCGGGAGCCTGACGAGACGAGAGCGCAATGAGGTGTGATTTCGCCGGTCGCAGGGGTCGAAGAGACGATTTAGATGGGCCTGGTCAAACACGCAACCGTTAGATTTGGTCCGAAGTTAAAAACATGCAGCATAGCGTCACAGTCATCTTCAATATTATCAGGTTTGCCTGAAATAGCTACTTTATGTCGTACCTCTGTGAGATGCGTCTGATGATTTGCAGTGTTAGCCCGTCCAGGTAGACATGCTTGTATAGATCAGCAGATTACCACCTTGATGATGCATCCTGAACCGGATGCAAACAATGTTTGCGATTTATTGCTGCAGCGTGAAAGGGTAACCCCAGAACTCTATGCGAACGACACGTGGGATTTTGAAAGTGTGTTGTGGGAACGCCAAACACTCGCAAATGCGTAGTTGGCAGCGACAGCCCGCATCACACCGATCAACGCGGCCCGGATGTCTGCCGACCCATCTCTGGGTTGTTCTGCATCTCTTCTTTGCATTATTTGAAATTAACAAGATCATTCTGCTCATAAGACTTGACACTCTACCGTGCACGTAGGCCTCCCGGCTGTGCTCAATCAACGACAATGCAAATTTAAGGTCGCTTTCGCGTTAGGAGATTCTAGGGGTCTCTACGTTGTCAGATTATGCTCAGGCCAATCTCGCTATCGGTAATTTGATGAACGTCTTGGTCCCGTCTGCGACACTCGTCAGTCCCGACACCCCGTTCAACCCGTCCCGGCTCCCTACTATTCCTGGTCTCAAGAGGTGCCGCTACTTGGCACGCCAATGCGCCAAAAAGTGCCATGGCGGTGACCGTGCTGGTCTCCGTCTGCGTACACCATACGCTGTCAATGGCCGCATTGCTCACTACGTTGGCCCGACTCGTTCCGTGGCTGGGTTCTTGGAAGGGAGCCAAGTTTTTGTTTGGGGGAAGGGCTAAGTAGGACCCGCTCGTATCAAATCTCGCATTCGAAAACGGACGCGACTCGTGAATGCGAACGCGAAGCGTACAGCCCCCAGACGACTCACCAAACATCACCACGCATTGTAATTCTGGAACGGCTGATGTATGAGACACGTGAGCTGACAATGTCCATGCCTCTCTGGACCCTTTGGAAGCGTTATTGGCCATCATTGGCTAAGCTCTCAACCCCGGGTTAGAGTGTTGGGTTGAGACGGTTCGGACATTGAGATTGATCTTTCTGGGGACATTAAACCTTGAAGCGCAAGCCACCGTACGGAGTACAAGGCGCCGGGAGACAAGTCCGGATACGCAGTCGCGACCTCAACTTCGCACCTCTCTAGGATTGCGTGTGCGCATAGATAAAGAGACATGTCCGACCACCAAGCCATATACACGACGATACATCAATCATTTCCTGACTTTCTCCCTTAGCTCTGTTCACTGTACCTTACACCAAAATGAGGAACCCAACTACAGCTTCGCGGCCGAGCACCGGTCAGCCAATTGAGGTTCGCATTATAACTACAGAACCCCGAGCTACAGAAGTTCGAGCCAAGGAGGCTTTGCCGAGGAGCAAGTCATTTCACCAGCTTTCTTCCCGTGTGGAAGTTAGACCAACAGAGCCCCTTCCGCGAACCAAGTCCCATCACCAATTGCCTCGCCAGGAGAGATCTCAAAACCCGGTACAGCTACAGGCCTTCGAGTGGAATTTGCCCGCCGACCACAAGCACTGGCGACGGCTCCGGCGCGCGTTGCCGGCACTGAGGTCCGTTGGTGTTAACAGCCTATGGCTGCCGCCCGGAAGCAAAGCCAAGGATCCCGAGAGTAACGGCTACGACATTTACGACGCCTGGGATTTAGGAGAGTTTGACCAAAAGGGCTCAGTCCCCACCAAATGGGGGACCAAGGGAGACCTTGTATCCTTAGCGGCGGATGCGGAGCACCACGGCATTGGGCTCGTCTGGGACGCTATTCACAACCACCGCGCCTACGCTGACGGCACTGAGATGGTAAAGGTGGTCGAGGTTGATCCGCGTGGTAAGCTCTCATCCATCAATTTGTATCACACTTGGTTCTTATCTGCTTACACGCAGTTCAGATAGACGGAGAGACACCACAGACGTTTATGAGATAGAGTCATGGACCAAATTCGACTATAAAGCTAGAGGGGGCAAGTACAGCAAGTTCAGATATAACAAGTCACATTTCAACGGCACAGACTGGAACCAACAGAACAAGAAACGTGCCATCTACAGGTTTGTAGAAGACGGCAAGAACTGGCATCAAGACGTCGGCGACCTCCAAGGAAACGCCGACTACTTGATGCTCGAAAACCTCGACTACACTAACCCCGAGGTCGTCAAAGAGCAGCATCAGTGGGGCAAGTGGATCGTGGATGAGCTCGGTCTCAAAGGCTTCCGTGTGGACGCCGTACAGCACATCTCATGGAACTTCATCAGTAAATGGGCCGAGCACCTAAGGAAGCCAGCCATTCGCAATGATCTTATGTTTATTGGAGAGTTTTGGCATGGCGATGTGCGCGTTCTGAACAATTGGTTGGAGCACATGCCAGCATTTTTCAGCCTCTATGATGTGCCTCTCATGTACCACATCGAGAGATTGTCATGGCACCGAGACACGGATTTGAGGCAGGTTTTCAAGGACACACTGGTGGAACAACGACCCAACAACGCCGTCGTAAGTTTGCTGATCCTCTGCAATTTTGAACGACTTGCTGACAATTTGTAGACTTTCATTCGTAATCACGACACCCAGAAGGGCCAACAGATGGATACTCCAATCTGCAAGGAGTTCATGCCCTTTGCCTACTCAATGATCCTTCTGAGACGCGATGGTCACCCGTGTGTCTTCTTCGGTGATTTATACGGCATCGAGCTTACCCATCCCGAAGCGCCCATCCAAGACCTTCCCAACTTGCTCTTGGCCAGAAAGCTTTACGCCTACGGGGAACAACAAGATTACTTCGAACGGCCCGACTGCATTGGATGGGTTAGACAGGGAACGGAAGAGAGACTCGCCGGCATGGCCGTCGTCATGAGCTGGACACAGGCTGAACATACCGACACTCGGTTATCAATGTCAGTTGGTGCCGACCACGCCGGGGAGGTCTGGACCGATGTCCTCGGAATGGAGTCGGCCGCAGTTACGATTGATGAGAACGGCATGGGCTCTTTCTACTGCCCGAAGAACAAGATGGCTTGTTTCGTTAACGCGGACGCGAAGGGAAGAAAGAAGTTCCCAGTCAAGTTCGATTCTGACTTTCACGGCCTTATTGAATAAGGCCAACACGGACTGATCATGGTGCAAGAGTTAAGGTCGCAACATAGAGAAAGAATGTCACTGTAGCATTAGACATTTGTACACATTTCGGAAGCATTTGTTAGCGTAGACATAGCCTAGGTAATACCCTCATCGGTGTCATGTATTTTACCCACGTCGAATTCAATTCACTTTATGTTACACCAATGGGCATTTGGGAGTGATTTCCAGACCAGTGAGGATTTTGTATTGTGTCCAATGAGCCATACTCTGCTCAGCAAATTAAGCCCTGAATTGTCGGTTTGAGCGTCCGCATATTATATAGGAGGGCTCATCGTTGCGAGCTTGTTAATCTTTGACTTCTCTGTCAAACAATCAGCAATGCCAATGGGATTTCTTTCAGTCGATAGAAGAAAGCTTTCGTTGTCAACCAGCGATTTCCCAAGGCTGTCCATAGAGCGGAAAATGCAACTTGGAACCAGCTCCGAAAGCTTGCAACCTCTACCAGAAATGCAACAATCCATGCTGCAATGGAGAGAAAAAAGCTGTGAGGTATGACGTCTGCAAAGATGAGAGCCCAGAGTACAAGTCCGGTTGCATAGATCGTTAACGAGAGCAAAGGCCAGTAAGCCAAGATTCCTTGTGCAGGTTGGTTCGGATCCTCGTATCCCAGCCCTGTTGTCGACTGCTAGGTCAACGAGGTCAGTCAATATGTCCCAGAACACCCATACTCCTTCGCGTAGTGTGTTCATGGTGCGAACTCACAGCATCTCCAGCAGGAACATCGGGTGAGACTGGTTCATACTCTGTAGCCGCTACAAATTATGAAAATTAGTCACAAAGTTCGTTCCCGTAGACAGGTATTTGACGGCTATTGCCTAGGTCGTCTAGCGAACCGATCTAGTTACTCACTTGTATAAGCTTCAGCGGCTGTGATCAAAGGAAGAGCTAGAAGAAACAAAGGTACGAGCTGCCCGAAATTTGGTTTTATAGCTCCAAGATTCAAAGTGGCATCATCGAAGAATCTGAGGAGATTAGCGGTCCCAAATGTGAAGTAGAAGAATAACCACACAATCTCCCAGAGAAAACTCGATCTGATGTCCGCTAATGTTTTGTTCCTGTCCATGCCTTTGAACCGATTCTCGGTATCAGGTCCAAACAAGACTCGTAAGGACCGACATTGCCAAAAGTCTTGTTCGTCGCGAGCCGGCATGCAGTATAGTTGTAGAAATCTTTGAACGTAGCCAGATATAAGGATGTAAGTTAATACGGATAAGTTAAAGACAATGATGAATTCATCAGAGAAGAAGACGTAGTTGGGTCTTTCCCGATCAATCAATTTGAAATGCTTTCTCGCACATTTGACCGAAACGTGGCGATTGAAGCGAAAAGTAACAGAATCTGATATGATCATGCAACCGATCATCATGACTAGAAAAGCAACCATAAGAATGGTTCGAAATATTCGTAGCCAATTATGTCGGTCGAAGTAATCCCATAGTACTGAGAGGGAACAAAGGTGCGTGATGCACGAGAAATAACCGAGTCGGGTCGCGATTTGAAACGAGTACACCGAGAAGCTCTCATCCAGGTTGTACATTCCCGAAAAGATCAGTATCGTTGCCAGCATGAGAGCCATGCCGGTGACAAGTTGTTGGTCGCTCAAAGATAGCATGAATGACTCGAAGGCTTTGATACGTCGTTGCCTCTCTGCCCGCGACATGTGACGGTAGGCGATGCTGTCTATTGGGTTGTAGCGTTCCTCGGGTAGCGCATTTGC